GATGCTAATTGGGATCCCCAGGGCACCTACTAAGAAAATAACTAAGAAAACATTGTGAATGAAACAAAAAAGGAATTTAAAAAAATACATTAGAAAATATCTATTTTAGGGCCAGGTGTGATGGCACACATCTCTAATCCCAGCGACTTTGGAGGCTGAGGCAGGAGGGTCCTTGAGTTCAAAGCCAGCTTCAGCAATTCAGTGAGGCTCTAAGCAACTTAGACCCTGTCTCTATTTTTTTTTTTTAAGAGAGAGAGTGAGAGAGAGAGAGAGAGAATTTTTAATATTTATTTTTCAGTTTTCGGCAGACACAACATTTTTGTTTGTATGTGGTGCTGAGGATCGAACCCCCGGGCCGCACGCATGCCAGGCGAGCGCGCTACTGCTTGAGCCACATCCCCAGCCCCTAGACCCTGTCTCTGAATAAAATATTAAAAAGGCTGGGGATGTCGCTAGGTGGTAAAGCATCCCTGAGTTCAATCCCTAATACCAATAAATAAATAAAATAAATAGATAGATAAATATAAACTTAAAAGTAAAAATAAATATGAGCAAATGATAAAGATACTTCTTCAGAGAAGATACACACAATAAACACATGAAAAGATGCCCAACATCATTCCTTAAAAAGGAAATGCCAATCAAAGCCACAATGAGCTATGAGGTCACACACTAAAGATGGCTGAAGTGGAAAAGACAGACAATAACAAGTTTTGACAAGGATGTGGAGAAATTAGAACCCATACATAGGTGGTCAGACCACAAAGTAGCAGCTGCTTTGGAAAACAGTTTGGCAGTTCCTCAAAATGTGAACTAAGAGCTACTATAAACCAATAATTCTCCTTCTAGATATAGACCCAAGAGAACTGAAACATGTCCACACACACACACAAACACACACACACACACACAAAAAAAAAACACCTTGTACTTGAACATTCACATACTAGCAACCTAAATGTCCATCAACTGATGAACATAAAAGAAAAACAACTTAAAATGGAAATCCATACAATGGAACATATTTAGCTGCAAAAGAAATGAAGTATAAGTCGGGCATAGCAGCACACCCCTGTAACCCCAGCAACTCAGGAGGCTGAGACAGGAGGATCAAAAGTTTAAGGACAGCCTCAACAACTGGGCAAGTGCCTAAGCAACTTGGTGAGACCCTCTCTCAAAATAAAAAATAAAAAAGGACTGGGGGCATGATTCAGTGGTTGAGCACCCCTGGATTCAGTCCCTGGTACTAGAAATAACTAAGTAAGTAAATAAATAAGGAATGAAGTATTGATTCATGCTATGACATTTGAAAACATGCCAGAAAGAAGCCAGTCTCAGGAGCCAGGCACGATGGTGCCTGTCTGAAATCCTGCAACTTGGGAGGCTGAAGCAGGATTGCAAATTGAAAGCCAGCCTGGGCAACTTAGAGACCTGTCTCAAAATAAAAAATGAAAAAGGGCTAGGGATGTGGCTCAGGAGTAAAGCACCCCCAGTACCAAAAAAGAAAGAAGCGAATCACAAAAGACTATACGTTGTATAACTCTGTTTGTGGAAGTGTCTGGAATGTGCAACTCCAGAGAGTCAAAGTAGATGAGCAGTTATGGAGGGCTGGGGGTGGGGACCAGGAGGGGGCAGAGAGGAAGGAGCTGGAATGAGGAATGATTGTTAAGGGTCAGAGTTTCTTTTGGGAACGTTGAAACTGTTCTAGAATTAGATCATAGTGATGGCTGCACATATCTGAGAACATACTAAAAACCACTGAACTGTAGGTTTTAAATGGGTGAATTTTATGGTGCGTAAACTATATCTCAATAAAGCCGCAAAAGACAAACAACAGATTGTGCTTTAAAAGCAGCTCTGCCTGTCCATCGAGGTTTGATGCTTCAGGGGAAGAGTTTTTTTTTGTGGGGGAGGAAATTCCAAACCTACTAGAGTTGAAGTAAAGGACTAAGGTGTTCTCCTGACCTTCTGGCAGAAACTTATAGAGGAACCCTAACTATCAGCCTGAGCTAAAGCAAGGTGGGGGCATTTTGAGATTTCTGGGGTGGTGACCAGGGTTGTGGGATGGGGCCTCCTGCCAGGTGTGCCATTGTGGTGTCAATCTGTCAACATCAGTGACCTTCAAGGAACCTGTTACCTGTTAAGTGGCATAGAAGCCATAGGCCCAAGGCTTTAACCCTGTGGATAGAGCTCACTCTGAGTTCAGGGATTGCTTATGCCACTCAAATATCAAAAAGGGAGAGACTAGCCTGGGTGTGGTAACCACACCTGTAGTCCCAGCTGCTCATGAGGCTAAGGAAGGAGGGTTGCTTGAGCCCAAAGGAGTTGGAGGCCAGCCTGGGCAACATAGTAAAACTTTGTGTCTTAAAAATAATAATAAAGTGGCACATGCCTGTAATTCCAGCCTCAGCAAAAGCAAGAGGCTAAGCAACTCAGTGAGACCCTGTCTCTAAGTAGAATTCAAAACAGGGCTGGGGATGTGGCTCAGTGGTTGAGTGCCCTGAGTTCAACCCCTGGTATTAATAATAATAATAATAATAAACAGGAAGAAAATGCTGAGGGTGGGTCCCAGGGGAGATGTACCCAAGATGAAGGCCTCCCCAGGCTCCTATTTTTGCCCAGCCCATTAGAACTGGAGCTCTGAGGCCTATCTGATCTCGCTCCAACCCTTGCTTTGCTCCGCCTTCTCCACTAGTAAAATGGAGATAACACTATCTCCTGCCCAAGTCATTAGATTACATGAGCACTCCATAGAGGGCCGCGATTAGTAATATACAGTATTATTAATGAAGTCCAGCTGTGGGGAGGATGCGTCCTGGGTTGCATTCTGGCTCCGTTGCTTTAGATCTACAACTGACCCTCCCTTTGCCCTTCCTCAGCCCCAGGGTTGTCAGCTGCATGGTGGCTTCCTGCTTTTACCTGCTCCTGCTCTCCATCGCTGTAGCCAGAGGGAACTTCTGAAATACTTGGTCAGATAGAACACTTTCTTACGGAAAACCCTCCGATCACTTCCCAAGGCTCTTGAGATGAGATCCACCTGCCTTACCCCAGCCCACACCCGACCCTGGTGGGGCTTCGACCCACCACCCGACCTTCCTGTTGGCTTTTTTGTTCATTTTCTTAGAACCCATTCGTCTCCACCCTGGGGCCTTCAGCCTTGGACAGACCCTCAGCCACCAGCTCCTACAAAGTTACGCCTCATTCTTAAGGTCTTCACTCAGATGTGACCTCGGCCTGGTCATCCTGAGGACATCGCCACCACTCACTGCCACAATTGTCACAGGCCTGTTCCTTACAGGCCACTGCTTGCCACCTGCCACAATTGGCTAGGTGTGTTCCTGCTTTCTGGCTGGCTCCCTGCAGAGACCCCGTGGTTCCAGGGAGCAGGAATTCACCTGCAAGGGCATCTGAAGGCTGAGTGAAGTGTCTGGCATAATCCCTGGCCTGCGGCTGAGGGTTCCATTTGTTCTGTGATCTTGAACTGTCCATGCTTGGCGTGATGATTTGGGGAGATAAAGGAGGGAGGCATTGGCTACTGTCCCAATTTTCTGGGAATAGGATAGAAAAGGAAGACAGGGTCTGCTGACATGCTAAAGAACGCAGGGATGAGCCGGGCATGGTGGCGCACACCTGTAATTCCAGTGGCTCAGGAGGCTGAGACAGGAGAATCGCGAGTTCAAAGCCAGCCTCAGCAAAAGCAAGGCACTAAGCAACTCAGTGAGACCCTGTCTCCAAATAAAATACAAAATAGATGTGGCTCAGTGGTCGAGTGCCCCTGAGTTCAATCCCCAGTACCAACAACAACAAAAGGGATGAGCTGGGGTAGGAAGAGGTCTGTAGAGCTGCTGGGGGCCTTGACAGGAGGGGTCTCACGCAGTGGGCATTCCCAGCAGACAGCAGATTCCCAACCCTTGGCTCCAAAGGGGACTTTAGCAAAAAGAAAAGACACTGGGGCTTTAGGGAGCTCAGGATTGCAGGACACTGTCATTACCTTATGAGATAAGTCTTGGGGTTTTTTAATATTTTTTTTTGGTTGGTGATGGACCTTTATTTATTCATTTATTTATACGTGGCACTGAGAATCGAACCTAGTGCCTCACACAAGTAAGGAATTGCTCCTCCACGGAGCCACCACCCCAGCCCCAAGTCATGTTTTTTTGTGTGTGTGTGTGTGTGTGTGTGCATATTTTTTTTTGTGTGTGGGAATTGGCAGGTAGAAGAGATCCAATAACGCCAGGCTGCAGCCAAGTGGGACAACACCTAGAAGGGCAGTCTCCAGGACACTTAGAACATTGGTGCAACCTCTGGAATCCCAGGCATAGCCCCCCAAAAAACAAACAAACAAACAAACAAAAAAACCCAACAACCCCAAGTAGAACATCCAGGTAGTTGACAGTGTTTGCTCACACATGCACACACCCGCAGCATGGAGGTGGAGATGCAAGGCGCAGTGTCCATGTTACAAGTACAGAAGTCTGAAAGCTGCTGCTCTGGAAAAGATGGGGGAACCCCATGAAGGGTCATCCCACCAGAGGACAGGAAGCTGAAACCCACCCAGGGGTAATTCAATCCTACTTGGTTTTTTGGAGAAAGCATTGGGTTTGGGAACAGACAGAGCTGGATTTCAATTCTGAGCCTATGTTTTCCTATTGTGTGACTCGGGGCGAAATGCCCAACAGCTCTGAGTGCTGGCTTTGTCACTGGAATGTAAGGAGCACTCAGAGCTACTTCACTGATGGTTGATAGGATTTGGGGGGCATCTCCTGGATTGCTGAGCCAGGAACTGGCCCCTAGGTTCATAGGGTCCCTCTTCAGTATCTGGGGTGTATTCATTCCCACGGCCCTTGGGGCAGTGCCAGCCCCACGGCCACTCCTCCTTACTTACCCACCTGCCAACTGTGAGGGCTCTGGCTGCCCAGGATTCCTACCCTCTGCCCGTTATCCCAGCTCCTTCTAAACCCTAAGGGTGAGGATGAGAAATAACGAGACAGCAGCCAATGGGCAGAGATCCAGGAGAGGAAAAAAACAAGTTTTATTAAAGCCCCAAACACTTGGCTAGAAAAACCAAAAAAGAAGAGCAGGGAGGTGGGGAGAAGAAAAAAGGACATTAAAAAAGAGACAGAAAACACAGCAACCCTTTTCCATTTAAAAATTGTCAAGTTACACCGACAGAGGTCACAGAATATCCACAGAAGCCATCACTGCTACACCAACACGGGCCCTACGGGGGAATGGGGCAGGTACGGAGCTGGGGCTGGCCCCGGGGGGGCCCCACCTGGGACCCCGCTCAGAGCCCTGAGGCTCTTGGGGAAACAGCATATTGTGGAAAGGGCAGGAGAGAAACCCCCCCATGCGAGTAACACAGCACAGTGGGCAGGGGCGGGGACCTGGTACAGGGGTCCCCCAGACAGCTTAGTTTCTCTTGGTCAAGCACACACTGATGGACAGAGAAGCAAGGCGCATGCAGCTGGGGGGGTGACGTGCGGCGGGCATTGAGGGGCCAGTGGGGACGGAGGGCTCTGGAAGGGAGCCAGGCAGGGATGAGGGGACACACACATGTCTCACACACACACACACACACACACACACAGAGCTACTCCCACACTCCTGGGTCTGCACCAGCACACACATGCATACATATGCACCCACAGGCACAGGTCACATGCACCTCCATGTACACACCTCTGTCCATATGTGGCCCCAGACAGGTCTCTTGCAGCCAGGCATGTCCGCACACACACTACACATGTGCCCACATGCAAAGCTCCTCTCACACTAATGTGCAGACAGGCGTGTGCTGATGCCCAAACAGGTTACCTGCACCTACGTGTACACACCTCCCCGTGCACACAATAGGCCATTCCTGTGCATGCACATCCCATGCATCTACACACATGGGTAAGTCAGTTTGTGCTAGTGCGCACACGCACACGCACACACAAACACGGAGGCTGCACACAATCCCACACAAATGCTTCCCAGCCCATAAATGCACAGGAACTAAAGTGAAGAAAGGTGAAAATCCCACTGGGTTTTACTGGAACGGGTGGGGCGGGACATGGCTCCCTCCATCTGCCCCTGCATGGATGGACACTTCCCCCATCTCCCCCTCCCCCACAAAGGGACATTCAACTCCGGACAATGACGGTGGGGCACACACTCAGGTCACAGGCTGAGGTGGGTGTGGGGACAAGCGAAGAATAGCAAGCAAAGAGTAATGGAGTGGAGGGAGGAGGGGGCACCACTCCCCCCTCCCCTCCCAAGTCAGGGGGTCTCTGTACAGCCAAATCAAACCCAACCGCGTCACTGGACCACAGAAGCCAGGCCAATGTGCCCACCCCACCCCCCTCCCCCGCCAAACAGCGGCCAGGGAGAGAGGGCCGTGGTTTTCTTTTTTTTTCTTTTTTTAAATATTTATATATATTTATATTACGTATATTATATATATATAATATGTAAATATATTTTTAAAACAATATAAAATGTTAAGACACTTCACTTAAATGTAAAGAGTTGCCTGCAATTAAAAGTAATTGCATCATTTATGAGGTCCTTTTTTTCCCCTATTTTCTAGGTTTTTTTTTTTTTTTTTCCAGGAGGGATATTTTTTTTCCTCTTCTTTGTTATTTTTCAAAAAGGCTTGCTTGCCTTGGTACAAAAATGATCCAAAGCTAAAAAACAAGGATGAACCAACAAAAACAAAAACAATGAAGAAACACAACCCAGTTCCCCTCCCTCAGAAGCTCCCCCCGGCACCCCACCCCCAGCGCTGACCTTGCCCTGCCAGGCCCCAGGGTCTTGGGGTCTGTGTCCTTCAGTGGCTCCTTCTTTCTGTGCTTACTGGGGACGAATCCCAACGCCCCCTCCCTGTGCTTACTGCACTTTGTGCTCCAGATCCGAACCCTGTGCCCCAGGAGCCGCCTCCCTCCTCCCTACCCTCCCCAGTCTCCCTGCCAGCCCTTTTCTGTGCCCCCTGGGGGGCCAGGACTGAGAACCCAAATCATCAGCCTCTCCTCCAGTCTCCAGGGCCTGGCCAAAAGCCAGTCTTCACTGCCCAAGGCCTCTGCGGGTCAGGGCTGTCACAGGCCGGGACACTGGCTGGCTGCTCAGGACTTGGGGACCCTCAAACATCTCACCAGTGGTCACCAGATCCCCATGGAGAAAGCACATCTCATCCTCTCCCTGAAAACCCTCAAATCACAATGAGGATGGTGGAAGGGCAGATCACCCCACCTGTGGGGTCAGAGCTGTCCTCACTGCCCCCCACCAATCAATCCCTTCTCTATTCTCCCCATTTCCCTCACAACTAGACCCTTCCCACCCTCCAGGCCTTCAGACTTAATTTTCTAGGCCCTTTAATCTTGCCCTCCCCACCCCCATTAAATAAGTTAATGGCATTTAAAGTGCTAAATTAGGAAACTAAAAGTACCAAATGCCCCTCCCAGGGCTGCCCTCTCCCAAGGTAGGGCCCCAGTGGCAGGCCTCCCTCCACCCAGCCTCCACACCAGCAGTCTGAGGGCTTCCTTCCTCCATTAGCACAGGCCAGCCCCTACCCAAGCAGGATGCTATGTGGCCTTGGCTGCCTGGCCTCACAACCTGCCTCAGACTTGGGCCTCCTCTCTGGCTGGTCCTGTCCGTCTTGCCTCCAGGCCCATTGGGGGCGAGAGGAAGGGAGCAGAGTAGCAGCAGTGTTCAGTCTCATGGAGGCTGGACAGGGAGTGGGGCATCTCCAGGGCCAGGACCTCCCTCGTCCCATCTTCCAGCCTGATGCCGGGGTTGGTCCAATGTCCACAGGTTCCTCCAGGAAGGTTCGGAGGAAGGGGAGAGGGACCTCTCGCCGCTCCAAGTCTCCGTGGCTCAGAGTTTGTTTGGAGTGTTCTTGGGAAGTTGGGGGGAAGGTGGGGAAGGAGGCAGGGAGCAGGAACTCAGGATGGACTCGGGAGGACGAGTGGCGAAAGAGAAAAGGGAGAGAAGATGACAGGAAGTGGGCCGGGAGAAGGCCATCTGGGAACAGGAAGTCAAAGGAAGGTGGTGTGTTTGGTTTTTAATTGAATGTTTTGTTTTTTAAAAAAAGATAATTAAAAGTGAATCATTTAAAAAACCAAAAACACCAATTGAGGGATGAGGACCGGGAGCTGAGGAGGGCCACACCCATGACAACCCTTCCCAGGTCTGGAGAACAGGGTGGGGGGATGGAGGAAAGCAGAGTAGGGAGAGATGACGGGAGCGAGGGAGAAGACAGGCTGGGGTGGAGGCGTGAGGGGCTTCTAGAAGGAGATGGAAGAATTCCTTGCCCCAAAGGAAGTCAATACAGGGATGGAGGTTCTGGAAGCCGAGGGCTTTTCTGAGACTGGGCTTGAGGTCTCATTCGACCCGCTCATCTCTTTAGATGGTTTAGTGGCCTGGAACAAAAACAGGGGTCAGGGGTCAGAGAGAGCAAAGGAGAGCCTTCATGCTGGCCCCCAGCTGAAGTTTTGAAAAAAAAATGGAAAACCTCCACAAATCCAAGAGAAAATGAACTGCAAAAGCAAGAAACCAGAGGGGCATCTGGAGACGGCAGTTGCCTGAATTGAGTGGCAGGGGGAGGGCTCTGCAGGGGCAGAAAGGTGGGGGGAGGGGCAGGGGTTGGAACAAAGGGCCCAGAAACCAGAGTGGGGTCCGTCGTGGTTACTGATAGGAAAGAGAGAAGGCAGGAGAGAGACACCAGAGGAGCACAAGAGAGCCCGGGGTAGGCGAGGGGATAAGAGGGTAGGAGAGGGGTGGGGAGGGGAGGGAGAAGAAGTGAACCGTTAGCTGCGACAGGGGTGCAAGTCCTCCAGAGTGGGAGGCAGAGGGGGCCAGCAGCCCAGCCCAGCATTCAGGGACCCTCTTGCACCTCAGCAGGTGATAGGTACCAAGCAGAAGGATCCTGGTGGAAACAGGAATGAGCTTGTTCTCTTGGGGAACACTTCCCCAAAGAACTCCTGCCTGGGACTCTGGGAAAGAAGGCACCCAGCACCCAGCACCCAGCCTCCCTCTCAGCACTGGAAGACACCCCGCCCCCCCGCAAGTGGAGAGGCCACTCGGTCAAGAAGTGTCCTGCTTTCACTGGCCAGCACTGACGGGCAGAACCAGCTGCTCACCCTCTTCCCACCTCCCAGAGACTGCATCTCTACTGGTCCTGGAGGCTTGTCCTCCGAAATTGTGGTCTCCATAGGGTGGTTCAAGAACCATCTGCATTATCTCTAGGACATGTGTCACAAATGCAGATTCCTGGGTCCCCCTCCAGAATGTTTCTGATGTGGGTTTGGGAATGTGCATTTTAAGCAGGTGCCCGGGTATTTAATTTTGGAATCCTCTGTGAGGACCACACCGACCAGGCTTTCTCCCCGCAACTTCTGGACTCACTTAGCTACTAACAGCTTTGATATTTTAAGAACGTGACTGAAAAGATAAGACTGAAGACAAAGTCCTGTGGCTTATCACCGGAGACCTTCCTGAATTTATATCTGGGCATGGTCACTCCATTTCCCAAGGACCTATGTTGTCCCCAGCTGTCGGGTAGGCTCTCCCAGGAGCCTTGCAGGTCTCAAGCAAGTCCTGCCTCCTGCAGGCAGCAGGGACACAGGAGGCCTGGTCTTCCTGGCTCCCAGGGAACCACCCTGTGGCTGGTGATCACCATTTGTTCTTCCACGAGCACAGAAACGGCCCTGGCCAGCAATTCATCCGGGGGCTTTATTACACTGCAGTTTGCAGCCTACATTTCCTCTTTATGAAAGCTGAGGCTACAGTGTGGGTTTTCTGGCCCTCCTCCTCTTCACTGTGGTTGCTCTTCCATTCCTCAAAGGTTCCAGGGCAGCAGCCACAGGGTCGCTGGATTCGTGCATCCTTTGCCCACTGCCATGAGACAAGCTGGCCCTCACCAGGCTCCAGAATCTGGTCTCAAAGACACTCATCTAAAGGCGACCAGGAGCTCTCTTACCATCTATCACTTACCTTGGGCTCGGCCCCCGCCCCTGCTCTAGCCTTCCCCATTAAATTTCTTTCTTGCAAAGCAGGGAGGGGAGAGAGCTTCTCCACTCCCTCCCTGGAGTCTCTTCACATCTCATCATGTCCCCAAGCAAGGTGATGGTCCCCTCCTGGCTGTTGGCTTTGTTCTGAACTCTGGTCTTTCTAGTTAAAAGTGCTTTCTGTTCCTTCCCTTCAGCATTTTCAAGGGCCTCAGTCTTTGCAAGCTTTGGTCTTTGGCACACCGCCTTGCCTTCCGGGAGTGTGCCGCCTCCCGGGTGACCTGTCCTCACCCAAGCACTGTGCCCTTCTCCCCACTATCCCACCCCACCCCCGCCACAGCCAGTGCAAGGCCTTTAGACATGTTGTGTTCACTGGTTAACTGGGCTCCTCTTCACGGAGACGACTTGCAGTGGCTCTATAAGCATTTGTTTTGTGACTTCCTTGAAGGCCATCTGGCTTCAACCCCAACTGAACTGTTGTACTGAAGCGGAGGTAGCAGGTCCGACTGTGCCATCCTGTGTTGCTCAGAGTTCTCCAGTGTTACAGCTGCTGTCTCTGAAGGGGTCTATCCTTCCATTTCACCAGCTAGTCCTCCCCTGTGGGTCCTGATTTTGTCCAGAGAAGCAGAACTTTGTCACTTTTGTGGCAAAGCAGAAACCTCATAGGTGTCCGGCTTTCCACTGGGGAGGCTTGGAACTCTCTGGGCAGAGGCCTGCTCCCCTGCCTGGTCTGACTCTAGCACGCTGCCCAGCCCTCAGCTCCAAGGCAGAATTTCCTACAGAAGCAGATCATCCTGAGCCAGGGTCTGTCTTGTCTCTGTCATTCCAGGGCCACACAGGGAGCAGCAAGAGCCAGAGAGGCCCCCTGCTCTTCCCCTCTGGGAGGTCCTAGGTCCTGCTCTTGCCAGCTCCTCCTGGAGGCCTCAACATCCTGTCATTCCCTGGACTCTCTAGGGGGACGGTCCAACAAGGTCTCTTGACTTGAGCCACTGGAGAAGAGAGAATAGGTGGTCTTCAGGGGATTCTATAGTCCTAATAGAAGAGGGCGTGTTCATGGCTTCAGGTCGGCACCACTTCTTGATCCTTGCACCCCTGGGAATCCAGATCCCATCTCCTCTTGGATCCTGAGCCCAGCACTCATGGGCACTTTCCCAGTCATTTCCTGGGGCTTCTCTGCAGTAAAGTGCTGTTCCAATGCACTGCCCTCTTGGAGACCCCCACCCCATTTCCTTGCCTCTGTTCTCGGCACTACTACTCCCTCCAGCACATCGTCCCAAGGCAGGCGAGCTCCAAGGCTCAGTGTCATCCCTGACAAGTGCACACTCCAACCCAGGGGGATGGCCCTGTTGCCTGTTTTCCTTCCCACTGTATAGAAGAGGGTTTGGGTCAAGGCCACAGACTGGGCGGTGGGGACCATGTGCCGGCCCTAGTGGTCTAGGCAGCCGGAGCACATCAAGGGTGTTAACAAGGGTAAGGGGAGTAATGGCCCAGAGGACAGAGCTGTCATGAAGAGCCCTGGCTGGGCCACACTGCAGGGGATTCTGTTTGGGCCAGAAGACACAGGTTTGAACTGGTGTGTGAGAGAGAGAGATCATTAAATCTGCATTTTACAAAGTCCCTGCAGGTCTTAGAAAATAGGTCAGAGGTGACAAAAGTGTAGGGCGGGCAGAGGAGAAAGGTCCATAAAAGAGCCAGGTTCCTGTGAAGACAGAGGAAGAGGGCGGATGCCAAGGAATGGTTTACCCAGCCCTACGGGTGAGCGTGCAGGTCTACAAGGCCACACCCAAAGAGAGGTGAGAGAAGAGGGAGGAGAGAGCTTGCCGGTTGCTGGAGACCTTATCAAGCCCTGAGGCAGGAAGGCCTGAGGGGCTGAGGAGCCAGCGAGGGTGGGGAGTAGGGTGTGCAGCTGGCCCAGAGTCCCCGGAACGCAAAGCAACAGGCAGAGGGCTGGGCTCTGGGGAGTCAGGAGCAGGGGACAGCGGGTGTGACAGCAGGGGACTGCTGCTGAAGAGGCTAAAGCACACGTGTGTGTGGGGGAGGCCTGTCAGATAATGTGGGTTTGCATCCTGCTCCCCAGCCTCGGTCTCTCCACCTGTCCAGTGGGCATAACAAGGCCCTTCCTCAGAGCGGCAGGTGTGAAAGGAGACCGTGGACGTGACCGACACAAGTGAGTGTGCCATTAACATCAGCTACTCCTCTTGGCACAAAGGAGGGACCATTCTGGACAGATAGGGCACCCATCTTTGGTGATGGCAGGAGAAAGAGCTGGGAGTGGGCCTTAGAAGGTGTGTCTGGGGACCATGAGGAAGAAGGTAAGGAGAGACTGGGGGAGGGCTAGGTGCCAGGGCTATCTCAGTGCCATGTGTGGGAAGGACTTTGGGAAATCTGGGTCCAGTCCTGGCTCTGATGCCATTGCTGTGCATCTTCGGGAACTCCCTTTCCTTCTCTGAGCTCTCCCCTCTTATGTAAAAAAGGCGGCTGGACTCACCCATCTCTAACCTCCTGCTTTTGAGCCTAGAACTTTCTGGAAGTCAGCATCTAGACAGAGCAAGGCCCACCCTGTCATCCAGAATGGGCCTGGCCTACAGGAGCTGCCCAGGAATTAACGAACTGACTGGGCCTCACGGAGGCTGCAGGGCTGCAGACACCAGAGGGCCAGGCTGCTAACGCTAGCTGCTAACTCCAAGCCTGACGAGAAATCCAGAGGCTGCAGAGGCCCTGCAACTCCTGCCACACCCCATCTAATGGGGCCCAACCTCCTCCCCTTCTCCCCCATCTCCCACCTTATACAGATCAGCAGTGAACCAACAGACCGGGACCCAAGGCTGAATGGCAGGTGCAAGACTGGCTTGTCCCTCAGCTGAGGGTGGCCTGAGAGTTAACAGGAAGGCTGGGATGAGCATCCGGGAGCTGAGCACAGGGAGGAGGAGGCTGAAGATGAGCAGAGAAGGGCAGGAGGTGCAGTGGCCCCCAAGAGGGCTGGGCCTTACCAGGGACAAAGGACAATATGCAGATGGGGAGCAGGTCTTCTCTGTCCCTGAGGGGACTCCTAAAGGGGAGGGGATCCAGATCCAGAGCACTGGGACTGAGTGCAGGAGGGGTAGTGCTGGCAGGGACGACCTCACTGGTCATGGGAATATCGGCACATAGAGGATGCTCCGTGCCCAAACCCAGGGGCCCTGGAGGGGGCGCCCGCCACCCTGCCCTCACCTGCTGCTGGGCCTGGATCCTCATGTACTCAGCCCTCTGCTTGCTGTGCTTTCCTTTGTCAGGGCTGCTTGCTTGGCCCTGGGTCGCCTTCAGCCGAGAGGCTCCTGGAGTCACCACCTTCATGGGCGGCACGCTGCCACCACCACTCTGCAGAAAGAGAAATAGGGTTGGGGTTGGAGGGTCCTAGTGGAACCCTAAGCACTAGGCGGGGTCTCCTCACACAGGCCCTTGGGAACCTGGAGACCTCTCCTTGGCTCTACATCCCAGGCCAGAACTCGGGCTACTTTCTGAGCCTAGGTCTAAGGCCTCCCTGCCGGAGAGGGACAGAACCCCAGCCTGGATCCCAACAGTTCCTGAATGAGAACTCTGGGTGGTTGGTGGCCCAGTGGCAGCTGCGCCCTCTTGGGGAGGTCACTTCTAAAGTGCAAGTCCCCAGCACCACACCCACTCCCAAGCAAAAGGGGCACCACCCTGGGCCTGGAGTTTGGGGGTTAGGGTCCGGTTCTCTAGTGACAGACAGAGCAGGACTGATGGTCCCAGCCCACACCTTCCTGCTGAAGTCTCTCCAGAGATGGGCAAGTCTGGCTCCCTAAGCTCTTTAGCTACCAGGCCTACCCAGGAGGTTCCGGGTAGAGAACAGAGGAACGGACAGAGAAATGACAGAGACAGAGATCTGAGTCTGAGACAGGAGTGGGGGAAGCCTGGAATGGAAAAGGGGGAGAGAACTTTATTTCTTGGTTTACAGATACAGAGCAGAGAGGGAGGGGCCTCTGGATCTTGCCAAGGCTGGGAGGGCCGAGTCCTGGGTGGGCCGGCTTCCCAGCCTCCCCAGGCTCAGCCTGAGAGCCCCCGCCTGGTGGCAGGCTCCCAAGAGGGTGGTGAGCTGAGAAAAGGAGAGCGGGAGGAGGGGCTGGCTCTCGCGGCCCCCACTCCCTGCCCTCCGCAGGCCCAGAGACTAGAGTGGGAAGGCAGCAGGGGTGGGTGGGGGTGGCAGCCACCTGGGGGCTGCGAGGCTGGGGTGAGGGGCTGCCAGGGGGTCCCACGGCAGGGGCTGTGCCCATCTCGCTCAGGGTGGCTTCTAGTTCCCGGAGTGTCTCTTCCAGGCTGTCCGTCCGCTGGGGGGCGACACATGGCACTCTGCAGCCTTGGCCAGCTGCAGCCTGCCCCCCACTGCAGGTTTGAGCAGCACGTCCAGAGTCCTTGGAAGTCTCCTCCGAGTGGGTCTCGGCAGCTGAGGGCTCCTGAGTCTCATTTGGGGTTGGTCCCCAAGGACAGGGGACTCTGGCTCTTCCATCCTCTGGGCTAAGGCTTCCCATGCTCGGGCTCTTCCAAGCTGTCCCTTCCTTCTCGGGCATCGAGCTGCCCTTGGGCCAGGCAGTCTCTGCTCTGAGCGGGCCATCCCAGGTCCTCTCATTGCCAGTCAGGGTCCTCGGTCTTGGAGTGGGGGCTGTCCCGGGACCTGGTTCCTCCAGCCTGGCCTCTGGCGGGGAGGGAGGGTTGGGGGTGCACTCTGTCAAGATGATCCGTGGGATGCAGAAGGCCCTGGGACCTGGGGCAGCCTGGCGGGGAGAAGGAACGTGAGGAAGAATGTGATCCTGGCAAAGCAAACCCCGAGCTCGGATGGGGGTTAGACACAGGTGAGTTTGGCCCCTTCCTCTCACAGATGGGGAAACTGAGGCCAGGGTGGGGGGGTATTCCTGACTGAGAGAGGCAAAGCCCTACACCCCACCTGACGGTTTGCTACCTTCTGGTAAAAGATGCCCGCTTACACAGAGGCACAGGTACATGTTCGTGTCTTACTACCCATGCCAAGCCTGGGAGCCAGCCTCAGAGAGTCTACCCACCATGCAATGGGAAAACAATAACAGAGGGGAGGAAAGACAGAGAGTTCATGTGGACAGGTGCTCCTTAGCACAGAGCCTGGCACATTGTGAGCGCTCTAGAATACAAACTTAACTGACCGACAGAGACCTTCAGACCTGCTCAGGCAGAGAGCAGATGTCCCTTGGCCTCTGAGGGTGGGGCCATGATCCTCATCTCTAGCCAGATGCTTCTGGTTATTGCCCCACCCCCCACCCCGGACTTTGTGAGTGCTCTCCAAGGATTTCCAGGGGGAGGGGCTGGCCGGGTCCTCTGCCACACACACACTCAGGACAAGCTCCCTCTGGCATCTGCTTCTGTGTGAGTGTCCAGCAGGGATGCAGAGAGGCCCCAGTCACCCTCCAACCTGAGCAAATCCTGGTTTAATTCTGAGCACCAGTCTGTGCCAGATGCTGTCATATGTCCCCATCTTTAATGCTTACTGTAACCTATGAAATGGACTGCCACTCTCAGTCCCCTCGGTACAGATGAGAAACTGTGGGCAAGGAACAGTGTATGATCCCCACTGTCACTGACCCACAGCTGGTTAGTAGCAGAGCCGGGATTTGAACCTAGATGGTCTCACTCCAGTCTAGTGCTCTTTCCACTAAAAAGCCATGGGGAGCCAGACTCGGTGGCTCCATGCCTGTAGACCCAGTGGCTCTGGAGGCTGAGGCAGGAGGATGGCAAGTTCAAAGCCAGCCTCCGCAACCTAGCAAGGCCTTAAGCAATTTAGTGAGACTCTGTCTCTAAATAAAGTATAAAAAACGGTTGGGGATGTGGCTTAGTGGTTAAGTGCTCCTGAGTTCAATCCCTGGTACCAAAAAGAAAAAGCAGCTGTGTGCAGATGTGTGGGGGCAGCAGAGACCCCAACCACCCCCTCCCAAGGCAACCATCCAGCCCTGCCACCTGCTTACCTGGGAGTGGGGTGCAGCCTGGGAAGGCAAACAGGTGACCCATGCTCGCCCAGCTCCATTGCCCGACGGCACCTCAGGACGCCGAGGGTCAGCCAGGCCTAGGCGGCCAGGGAAGTGGCCCTGCCCGCTGGACCCCTCAAAACAGGTCTCCAAAGCCAGAAAGGAACAGGAGCTGGTGCCAGGGGCACAGCCAGCCCCAGAGGCACCCCTTCCATGCTACTCATCCCCTGATGGCCCCTCAGACTGATCCAAGCCATCCCCTGCCCAGCAGACAGCCTGTCTGCTCCCACTGCCAGACCACAGTGCCATTAGACCTCAGCCAACCCAGAAGTCAGGGGCAATCATCTCAGAGCCCACTACAATCCACGAAGAACCAAGAACGGGAGGTGAGAGTGTGTGCACAGAAGGGCTGGCCCTCCCCAGAACAGAGGCCCACTGGCCCCAGTGTGGCCGGGCAGAGGGATCCCCAGACCCTCTCCCACCCACCTCCCCAGGCAGACCAAGGAATGCAGACAGCAGATCCACCTCAAAGTCCCAAGAAAGAATAAAGGGGAAATCAGTGCAGCAGCACAGCAGCAAGGACTGAAATTAGAGAGAAGGAAGAACTTCTCAGTGCTGAAAGACAGAACCAGCAGCCAAGGAAAGGCATAGGTTTCTTACATTCTAAGCTTCTTGACCAGGGGGCAAGATAGAACCTGAGTCAGGGGAGGCTGTAGGTGAGCCAACCCCCGGGAGTGTCTTGGTCCCAGTGCAAGGCATAGATTCTAGTGGGAAAAGCAGCTTCTCCCCGGCACAAGCGGCAGAGCAGGGCATAGGGGAGGCATCTAAGCAAAGGCTCAGGACAGTCAGATTTTGAGCTGGACCCTTAAGTCATCTTGTGAGAAGATCCAAACTCCAATCTCAGCCTAAGGCAACACCTGGGCTTTGGGCCACACCAAAAGTCAGGCCGCAAACTGGAACAAAATGCCCGGGCTGCCAGCACCAGCCTCGGGACGCAGCCTGTGAGGGAACACAGACTTGGGGGGGCCACCAGATACCCAGGCTGCTGGGGTCTCCAGGGAAATCCCACCCAGGAGGCCAGAGGAAAGGCTGAGTTTTGTGCGGTCCTTGTGAGGGCGGGGCAGGTGAGGTGTGAGAAGCTGGGCAGTGGCAGGGACTTGCGCGTTTTAGCAGGTTAGCGTGAGAGGTGGGGGGCTGTGGAGGCACAGGCAGAGAGAGCTGTGAGAGGTGGGGCAGCCCGTTACCTTCCATGTGGGGCCCAGGGCTGTGCCCCCGGGGGGCCCCAGGTCCTGGGGGGACAGCAAGGTGGGGATCGGCTGGCGACGGGGCGTGGGGGGTAGGGAAGACACTGAGCTTCTCTCAAACACCTGAGGAGCAGAAGGTGGGGGCAGGTTTGGAGGAGGGGGCATCAGGAAGGATGGGGGTGCTGCTGGCCAGTGATGCAGGCGCCCATGGGGAGGATGGCCTGGGGTGGCATGAGTCCCCAGCCAGCCTCATCCCTTGGCCCCTCACCGTGGCCCCTGGCCGGCTCTGCCCTTCGTCGTGTCTCCTCTTCCAGGGACCCCTAGTGGTCCAGGGTTCCAGGCACTGGGGTGGGAGGGATGGGGTGAAGGGCTGAGGACCCTTGAGTATGGGTGGCTTCCAGCACCAGGAGAGCCTCAGGGCTTACAGTCCTTGGGACACTTGGGATGGGGGTCTCAGCACTGAGGGAACTCAGAATATGCCGGCACAGGGCCTTCAGAGTATGGTGGGTTTGGGGAGTAATTGAGTGGGTCTCAGAAACCACAATAAAAACTCAAACCTGCAGGAAGGGGCTTTAATAGACTCCCCATTTTATAGTGGTGAAGAAGCGGGAGGCAAGAAGGATGGGGTCCTGGGGCTCGCCCTGGTCCTGACACCTCACCCTAGGGACAACCTGGCAGGGGACCAGGACTGGAAGAGGCCTCAGAGGCCACACATGCCCCTGACCCACCTCCAGCTCAGCGATGATGCGGTCCTCATCGTCCTCATCCTTGATGGCAGAGGCCATGATGGGTGGCGTGGAGGCAGGGCGGGCCACCTCAGACACAGCCCGCCGCAGCTTCACTTGGGGCTTCTGCACCTCCAGCTCCTCAGACTCGGCCTTCTGAAAGGCCCAGGGCCCCATTAAGACCAGAGTCTGTCCCCTCCAGCACCAGCTCACCTCCCAGGTGTCACTGGTTCTAGATCACCTCCCACCTCTCCTGGCTCCGAATCTGTAACTTCCTTTGTCTCCTGCCAGGAAGCCCCACCACAGGCAGAGGCCTGGGTGGAATTAGGGCAAATACTCGTAACCAGGATCCCACTAGAAGTCCAGAGTCCCACTGTCCAGTGGTCTTCCCACCCACTGCCTCTGAGAAAGGGCTCCCTCCCACTCCAGAGGGTGCCCAGAGGTCATCTCAGGCTTCCCCCTAATTCAGTCTCTGGGCTTCTGCCCAAGGGGAAGTGGTACCTTGATGAAGGCTGAATCTTTCTTGCTGGTGACCACCACCTCTCCAGTGCGTGTGGTGGTCAGGCCATGGGAGGAAGGGAAGCTCCGGCGGGGAGGGGGTGGCGGGGGTGACTTGGAGGGCTTCTCCGTACGGTATCGGGGCACTGTCAGCTCATCTGCAGGCAGCCAATGGGCTGGGGTCAGGGCTGCAGCCCTGTGGTCAGCACACTGCATCTGACCACAAGTGTTGGATAACCTTGCTTCCTTCTCCAGGAGGAGAGAGGAAAACTAGGGGGCGGGAAGGAAGGACACAGGGCCCCTCCTCTGTTTACTCCCCCATGCCATCCAGCCCCAAGCCCTGTCATTCTTCCTCTAACAGCACTCTGACCCCTTGCTACTTAAAGTATGTCCTGGGCCAGCAGCATTGGCAGCACCTGGGAGCTTGTTGGAACCACAGTTCAGGACCCGGCCCTGAGCTGCTTAACCAGAATCCTGGGTTAAGCAAGAAGGACAGTCACATTCAAGTTTAAGAAGCATTACTCTAGCTAGGCACAGTGGCACGTGCCTATAATCCCAGCGCCTCGGGAGGCTGAGGCAGGAAGATCTCAAGTTCAAGGTCAGCCTCAGCAATTTAGCAAGACCTGTCTCAAGATAAAAAATTAAAAGCACTGGGAATGTAGCTCATTGGTGAAGTGCCGTGGTTCAATCCCCAGTACCAAAGAAGCAGCACCACTCTAGTCTCCTTCTCCCCAGCCCTTGCCACAGGTTCTAAGCACAAGCCCCTCAACCCCCAGCCTGGCCCCACTCACCAGTTTTCTCCCTTCCCCCCAATTCTTCCTCCAGCCTGTTACCAGGACAACATGTCGGAAGGTCACTCAAATCATGACACTCTCCTGCCTCTGATCTTCAGAGGCTCCCATTACCCCAAACTAGTCCAAGCTCCTTAGTCCAGCACCCTCTGCACCTGCCAATCTTTCATTCTCTGCTCTGCTTGTTACTCCTGGTGTGGGCCCTGGGTGGACCCTGGGTGGACCCCGTCAGGCAACAGCAACAGCAAGAGCGCATCTGCTGGCACGGGTACATGCTGCTCCCCTCTCCCTGGCATGGCCTCTCACTGGCCAGGAAGTGACTAATCATTTTCAGATAGTAAAAACTCCCCTCCTCTGGGAAGCTGCCCTGGCCGCCCAGGGCCTCCTCTAGGTCTGCACAGCTCAGGCTCTGCACGGGTCCCCTCCACTGGCTGCACTTAGCCCCTGCAGGTTTACATGCTGGGTAAGGCCTAGGGCCAATTACTTAACCATTTTGAGTTTTAGGGTCCTCGTCAGTAAAGTGGGAATAGTTACTACATCTGCCCCCTAGGACTGTTGTGAAATTATAAAAATGTCAAACACAGAAAGCCGCTGGAACAGTTCTTACTACATAGTAACTGCCTGATAAACATGAATGTTAGTATTATTCCCCTGATAAATTCTGAACTTCTAGAAATTAAGCACCCACTTATTTCCATCTCCCCAGCACCCAGCACACAGGAGGTGCTTAATAATATGCGCTGCAACGGGGCTGGAGTTGTGGCTCAGCAGTAGAGCACTCGCCTAGCACATGTGAGGCCCTAGGTTCAATCCTCAGCACCACATAAAAAATAAATAAATAAATAAAATAAAGGTACCGTGTCCAACTACAACTAAAAACAACTTTAAAAAATAATAATAATATGCGTTGCAGGAATGAAGGAAGGATGACTGACTGCCATTTCCCCTTCAAATTTCTGCCTCTCCCCCATTTCTCAGAGTCGGGGAGCACAGGATCCCTGTGAGTATCTACCTCTGCACCCTACTCTCAGCCCAGCCTGGCTCACAGCAGGTGCTCAGCTCAGCCAAGCGGGGCAGGAGGATCATTCTGCCTGCATGCAGGGTCCTCCCTGCCTCTCAGCAGCCCTCGGGGCAGTGGGAAGGGCCAAAATGGAGTCCAGCTTACCCTGCCCTCTGGGTTTCCCTCTCCCTTCAGTGATCTGAGGCCTGGCCACTGGCGGGTGGCCAGCACCCCCTTCTCTGGCAGCCCAAGCACCGCAGTGCTCACTCCCCAGTACCACCTCTGTCAACCGAGAGCCCTGAGAATTGGGTTCCCCAACTCTGGGCTCCTCACCAGCCCCTCCACCTCCATACCCGAGCCCCTCCTCCCGCTGGGCTCTGCTCGTGGGGCTGTCTTCTGGCCATGGGGTGCCTTGGGGGGCTTGTGGTCCGGGGTGGGGGCTGGGCCCGGGTGGGCCTTGCTGGCACAGTCCAGGTCCGGGATGGCCTTGAGTAGCTCTGCCTGCGTCTCCTCCAGCAGCCGGTTGATGTCCTTGGCGCTGTACTGGGTCAGGGCTGCCCGCTTCTCTTCCCAGTCCCGCTCCGCAGCCTTGGGGTGGAGGGTCAGCGTCAGTCCAATGCTAGACCCTCCAGGAACGGCTGCCCTGTCCCAGGATCTCCAGGGCTCAGTCCCTTCTCTATCCACACATGCAAGGGATAGAAAGGAAGCCTTCCGTTGATCCAGCCCCCAGGAGACCTCACCCTTCTCCTTGAGAATTACATGCCATCCGTGTGGGTCACAAAGGTGGCTTCATGATATTACATCCCGTTACTACCTTGTCATATGATATCATGTTTTTGGACATTCTATTCTATTCCATTGACCACACAGCCTATTCTTAGGCTAACACCAAATTGCTTTGATGATTATAGTTTTATAATATACTTTCTGTCTAGAAGGATGAATGTGACCCTCATTATGCTTCTCAGATTTCCATTAGAGGACTTACTCTCCTCCCCCGAGACAAAGGACCCACTTGCTTAGAGCTTCCTACTCCAGGATGGTGCAAGCACTCGCAGATGCAGCTTGTGCCCCTCACCCGCCCAGGCCTCCGCACCTCAACAGACACAGCCTTGTCCACACTTCTTTTGCCAGAAGTATCCAGGCCTTTGGTGGGGTTGCTGCCCTTGGGGGTGAGAGGGGCTCCCTCGGCCGGCCCGCTCAGCTCATGGAGGTTCAGTGGAGGACTGGGGGGTGGCATCTCAAAGTCCAGCCCCTTGTTGAAGTCAGTCTCAGCTGTCACCTTCTTGGGGGACTGACTGAGGAGGTTGTTGGGGGGTGGCCACACACCCTCATCCACTTGCCTGGGTTAGGAGAGTTAGGAGCAGCTGTGAGGCAGGGTGGGGGTGGGGGTGGGGGTGGCCCCAGGGAATGTGCCTAAGGGAGGTGGGGCGCAAGGAGGGCTCTGAGATTTTCAGGAGAGATGGGAGGATCTGGGGAGGAGTGACTGCACAGGGCATCAGGGAAAACTGAGGCTGCAGCGCGGGAGGGTTCACAGGTCAGAGGCGAAGTGCACATGCAGTCAGCACTCTGGGAAACTCTGGGGGAGTCAGGATAGGGCTGGGCATTCCTATGGATATAGGCCCAGTGTGTGACCCTGTGGGCAATCAGGTCAGGGAGAGAGTGACCTGCGGATCTGGGCCAGCGTGTCTGTGACCCCACGGCAGCGCTTGAGGAGCCCATCCAGGCGCTGTGGCTCCTCCTTCAAGAACTTCACTGCCTCCACCTCCACGCGCAGCACCACCCGCATCTTGCTCTGCAGGCCGGGGAAGTGAGCTGAGGGGACAGGAAGGAGTGAGCTGGGAGGGAGAGAGCACTGAGGACCGGGAGGACAGCGTAGTGGTGGGAGCACAGGCCACACCGCCTGGCACAGACTCACCCTTGAGCTCTGTGAGTGTCTCCCCAAGCTGCTTCAGCACGAGCGCCTTCTCCTCCAGCTCAGGGCCGGGTACCAGCCGGTGATTGTGGGACACATCCCTCTGGATCTTCTCCACCGACTTCTCCAAGTCACTGCAGCCACAGAGATACCCTCTTAGCCCCTCTGGCCCCAGCCAAGCCCCCTGAAATTGAGCAGCTGGAAAGAAATCAGGCCACTATTAAGATCAAAATTAGAAGTTATTCACCAGGCCACATGCCCAAGTAAAACCAGAAATGTCAAATCTCAGAAGTGGGGAACACTTCAAAGCCGACCTAGGCCCACCTTGCAAGCTCTGATCTTTTAGCAACATCAGCCCAAATCTCCCTTGCTGTAACTTGCAGCCTCTGATTTTTATTCTGCCAAAGAAGCAGTAGAGAATCTGGCCAATTTTCAGAGAACTGGAGGCAGCAGCATGTACCCCTGAGGAGTCCCCTGTCTGAGGAGACACCACCATGCCCATCTACCTTTAGTTAACTGATCAAGCCACTCAGCCTCTTTCTTTGAGGCCAAAACTGCTTTAAGTTTTCAGCTGTTTTATATTGAGCTCATGTCATCTAATGCCCCACACTTTTCTAAGATGAAACTCAGAACAAGTCACCACCTCTTGCCTCAAGATCCCTAAATGGATCTTGAGACTAAAATCCAAATTTCCCAAAGCAGACAAGTGGTGGTTGGAAACTTGACTCTAGAGTCAGCAAGATTGAGATCCAATCCCAGCTCAGCCTTCCCAGCTCTTGAGCAAGTTACCTAATATATCTGGGCCTTGATCTTCTCATGCAAGAAATGAGGGTATCCAGCAAGAGTTCCTCCCACATGGGCCATGACAAGGATGAACTAAGCTAATGTGAATGGGCTGGTCCCTGGGATCTGCTCTCCCTCCAGCTGCGTTCCCCACCCCATCCAGCTTACTTCTGTTTAGGCCGTTCGAAACTTCTCTAAGGTCCTTGTATGTGCAGCCCTTTCTGATCCTTTAAAATGCCATGGTCTCTGCCTAGAACATTCCATTCACTTACACACACACACACACACACACACACACACACACGTTAATTCCCCCTTGTCTTCAGGACTCAGTGGAAAACTCTCCCAGGCCCTCCACTTGAGGTCAGGATTTTGCTTCCTGCCCCACAAACCCTTGAAGCTCCTGTTTGCTGGGTTGTACAACCTTCTGGGCCACTAACCCCAGGCAGACTAAGTGAAAGAAAGAATTGCTACAAGTAGGTCATCTCAATTCTATACTTGAGTCACTGACATCCCACATGTAAAGCTACATGTGGGACTTTACATACATTCCTGTCAAATCCCATCTGTTGGATTTTAGCTCAATAATCCAGGTGCAAACAACTTTTGAATCCCGGTTCCATCATCCCACAGATTTGCTCACCCTTAAAGCTCTGTGTCGTCCGAAATCTTATCAGCATGACTAGCAGATGAAAAGATGGACCGGGCTGGAGCCAAGGGCAAAATCCTATGGCTCAGCACTGCTGGTTAAGGAGCTATCTTGTATTAAATGCTTACTGCATGCCAGGGGTCACACCTAGCCTTCAGTAGATACTCGTCTTACTTCAGCCATTGGTTCTGTTGTCACAGTGGGCTTAAGTCACATTGTCCTGACTGGAGGGAGAGCAGATCCCAGGGACCAGATCCTAGGCCTGACTCTGCTACCTGGGAAAGCAAAACTTTCCCCTCTATGTGTGTGACACCTGACTGGTTTAGGCTGGGCCAGTCTTATAAAATAGTCACTTCCAAACATCAATCAGAGAAGACACCCTCATTTAAAGCAGGACTCAGGGAAGCCTTCAGGAGGAAAGGACACCACAATTCTCAGGCAGAGGGAGGACAAGATCCCCTAGGCTCACTCTTGTCATTCGATTCTCCAAAGTTTTGAAGCCCCTAACTTGGTCAGGTTCTGCAAATGAGTTCCAGATCAGTTTGTCTAGACTAATGGATTAAAAAGTGGCTGAAAACCTGGCATGATGGTACACACCTCTAATCTCAGCAGCCTGGGAGGCTGAGGCAGGAGGATCATGAGATCAAAGCCAGCCTCAGCAACTTAGCGAGGCCCTCTCTCATAATAAAAAATAAAAAGAGCTGGGATGTGGCTCAGTAGTTAAGGGCCCCTGGGTTCAATCCCTGGTATCCAAAAAAAAATAATAATAATAATAATAACAATAATGGCTGAGGGCTGGAGTGCAGCTCAGTGGTAGAGTGCTTGTCTAGCATATTCAAGGACCTGGGTTCCATCCCCAGTACCTTAAGAAGAGGGAAAAAAGTGACTGGGTGTTTAGTCCTAGAAGGGTCCAGAGGGGAAGGCCAGTACAGAACCAGCTAAATAATTTGCAGGGCCCACTGCAAAACGAGAGATCAGTTCCTAGTTCAAAACTTAAGACTTTCAGGAGGGTGATGGCAGAGCATTACACTCAGCAAGGGGCCTGTGTGAGCGAGGGCCCTGCATAACTGTTCATCTCCAAAGGTGGGTTAGGCAGAGGCTGAGTCCAGGAGTCAACAGGCCTCAGTCAGCAGGGCAGAGTCCCGGCAGAGCTTGGCTAGACAGACACATGGGTGAGCCAAGTTGATGAAACGGAACCAGCCTAACTGCTAGCAAGATGCCAGGAAAGAGGAAGGGTCACAGCAAAATGAGGCAAGACAAGCGCATGTGCAGCAGAGTAGGGGGTGGGGAAGGGCTGCAGGGCGAATGCCTCGGAAGGCTATGGAAGGAGTGCAGGGAGGGCCTTCAAGGCTGGGCCAGAGCCACAACAGGGCTGGCACACAGTTAGCCCCTGTCCCACTCAAAATAGGCAGGAGGCCCATTCCAGAAGGATGGAGAATCCTGACAGAAGCAGTTTTTTCAGGTCATTTGAGAGCAGTCTGAGCAATGGGTCCCACAAAGGGCAGGGGTGAGGAGCCTGTATGTTCCTGGAGAACAGAGGCCCCCAGGAAGACAAGGACCAGACACTCATTAATGACCAGAGAATAAATCCGTCCTTTCATCTCTTCCACCTCTGTGCTTTTATATTTCCTTTAATGTCTCAGTAAAGTTCTTTTGAAAATTCCAACCCAGCTCTGCTGTGCCAAATGGAAAGGAACAAGGAAAGGACAGGAAAGTCCAGCAAAGAGATTTCCCTAGGAGAGGGGGATGGCAGCTGTCTAATGGAAATCTGACTGGAGCTTTCACTAAGCCATCGCACCTGAGTGACAGGCAGCAGCTGCTGGCTTATTTCCACATGGGGTGACCCCTTACTTCATGTTGGCCATATGATGTTATATGAATCTTTGCCTCCTGCCTCTTTAAGGCATGTGTCACCAGGCTGCGTGGACCCCAGGTTGATAGAGCAGGAGCCTTTGGAAAGGCTCCACATATGACTTAGGGAGGAAGTTGAGCTTCTGTGAGCAGCTCTCCTGGCTCCTGGGCACTCCTGAGTACAACCCAACCCCTCTCCAGATAATGCAAAAATCTTAATACTGGACACAGATGAGGGCACTGAGGCAAGAACTGCCCTGAACACATAGCCCCTTGATGCTGGAGCCAGACCCCAAGTCCCCTAATGCCCTGTGTCACCAAGAGGGAGGGACATAGGGAAGAAGCAGAAGTCTTTGCCTCAGACTCAGTAATTGATAAGGGAAAGCTGCAGTGGGGTGGGGGTGCTCCCTCCTGAATGGACAGCAAAAGGCAGCTTCTCCTTTCAAAGGTGCCAGACAATGGAATTGTGGCCAGACAGCCATTTGCTAAATTTGGATGGAGACGGTCTTCTGTTAACCCTTCAGTGTCCAATCATTTGGGGTGGGGTGTTCGATATTCTTTCTTCTTTCCAGAACACTCCAGCTCAGTTCCAGTTATACCAAGCAAGGAGGGTTTTTCTTGGCTATATCTGGTCTCGGAGATCAGTGGACAGGAGTGGTGACAATGGTGGCTAGTCATCACCAAGCTGGAGTGGGGGTGGCGCCTGAACACTCCACCTGCATGCTCTGCCCTAGGGTCAATTTACATGGGTCACGGGCCAGAACAAAAGCAGGCAGAGGTCAGAGAGAAATCAGGCCCCAGCCACATGTGAGTGAAGTTGCCAGACTAAATGATGAGGAAGCAAGACCACAGCAAAAGCAGGCACCAAGCCAGAAAAAAGAAATCGGGAATTATGCCAGATGGTCAAAGGTTTGTGGGTCATAGAGAAATCAGGCCACAGAGGAGGATGAAATCAGGCCCCAGAACAAACCAACGTCACCTGTGATTCCGAAGGAAGGGAGCTGTGCCTCCCAGGGAAAACAGGCTGCCTTGGCCTCGGCCGCGCCCCCCACCCTCCCTCCGCGGCCGGGCCCAGCCTCACTTGAGCTGCTGGGTGATGAGCTCTTCGTCGTTGAGGTAGCGCAGCCTCTCCTCCTCCACCAGGGTGCGCTGCCGCTGCAGTGGGTCCTCCTGCCGCCGCGCCGCCTCAGACACGCGCATGCTCAGCTCCGCCTCTGTGCGCTTCAGCAGCGCGCGCACCGACTCCTGGTTCTGGAGCTGCGGGATGCAAGGATGGGCGCGTGGACCTGGGTGGGAGGGATAGGAGGCGCGCGGGGCGAGGGAGTGCAGAGGGCAGCCCTATGCGGCTCCAGCTCTTCAGAAGATGCGGCTGCTTAGCTGTGGCCACGAGCCGCCACGGACGGTGCGGGTAGGGGCCGAGGGCTAAATTTGGGGGAAAACGGAGGCAGGAGAATGGGCAGTGGACAGTGGAGGGAGCCGTGCTGTACTGGGCGGTGCTATGCTGGGCAGTGCAGAAGGTGCTGTGGCCATGAGCAGCAGCAAAGGGTTGGGGCGGTGAGTGGCGCAGGGGAAGTTCTGGGAAAAGTGTAGGGGCAGAAGAACAGGATGAGAAAATGTGGCGCGGGACGGGGGTCCTACGCTGGGCCCTGCCTAGAGTGCAGCTGCGTGGCTGTGGCCTTGAGCAGCCCTGAATGAAGACGGGCCTGGCATGAAGGATTCAAGCGCTGGGGTTGATAGTTTCCGTGACTGGGACGGGAGGACCAAGTTAATGCTAAGTTAACGGTCAAACCCAGTTCCAAGCCTGACTGGAGGGGGGTGGGCGAGACCTTACCCTTGGCCCAGATGGCAACTCTCTGCCCCCTCCCCAGCCTGTCTCTGCGCATTATTCTCGCCTGACGGGTCCTGGGGCCCTCTCGAGTAGCCGGCACAGCGATGCCAGGCTCCTGACTGGTGGGACCATCTGCCAGGAAGGATGGAGCAGACTGTTCGGGCTCAGGAAGGGAGAGCTGAGGGGACGTGGGGAAGAGGTATGCGGGGCCAGAAGGAACTGGAGTTGCCCCCCACCCGCAATGATATCTATGGTGAGGGTTGGCCTGGGGCTCTAGAAGAGCCATGGGAAAGAAGGAGGGCTAGTAGGGGGGGCAGGAGCCAAAGGTGGAGGTTCAATGAGAAGCAGGAGCTCAAGAAGAGGGGGAGAAAGGGTTCAGGTGGTAGGGACCTTTGAGCAACAAGGGATTCCCCAGAGCTCCATGGGGAAGGGCGGGGCATGGGGGATGGGACAGTACTTGTGGAAGGAGTTTGGGCTAGTTGGTGGCGCTTGAGGGGAGCATTACCTGGAGCTTTCGCAGCTGCTGAAGTTGGCCACGCAGGTCACTGGTGCTGTTCTGCAGGCCACGCAAGTGCAGCTGCATCTGCAGCCGGCTGATAGCTGTGGGCTGCCCTGCAGGGGTGCTGCTGGCTGAGGGAGGGGGAGGGCCAGACACAGGGGTTGCCCCACTGCTTCTGCTGCCTGACCCGCATGCTACAGGGAGGGACCATGAGGATGGGAGAAAGGGAATAAAAAGTGAGCCTGAGAGGCACTGGTGCAAGATCCTCCCCACTTTTGACCCCACACAGTAGCCAGAGACACATGACTTTGCTTCCTGCTCTAAGTGATAATCAGTTCTAACAATGAGGAGCAAAGCACCAGTGCAGTGACATCTTGGGTTAAGGTGAACACTCATGTATCCATCGAAAGTCCAGTGATGTAGCTATTGTTTGATCCCTAGTTTACATATTAGGAAACTGACTCAGAGGCAAAGGCCCTGTGAGAAAAAAGGGAAGGGTCACTCACGTGCTGATGGGGTGGCTGCTCCATTGGAGCCTTCAATCTTCTCACTGTAGCACAGGGAAAAGAAGATGGTCATCAGAGGTCCAGGCCAGCCCCAGACCATCAAAGCTGAGTGGGACCTTAGATGTCATCTCTTTCAGCTCCCTGATCATGGAATGGAACAGCAGAAAAGGGAAGGGACTTGCCCAGGGTTACACAGCGAGACATTGGCAAAGTCAAGCTCAGGGCTTCTAATGCCCATTGCCCCTTCTTCCTGCCCCTGGCAGTGGTGTTGGGAGAGGGACCGTACCTGGGTGTCTCAGGCTCTGAGCCTCGAAGTAGGGCGCTCTGCACCAGGCCTGTGAGGCTGGCAATCTGCTTCTCCATGGCCTCCATTCGCTCCCTGGGGAGGAAGGTGGTTCTGAGCAATCCCTGCTCTAAGCATGACTCCTGCCCAGCCTCTCATTTCTAAGAATGATCACCAGGAGAAATAACATTCTATCCCCAACTGCAGTTCAGGCACCCAAAGAGACCAAATGCCTAAAGAACAAGCCCACCCCCTACTGCATTTCTCACCTCCCTAAGCGATCTGTCCTAACCACTCCATGCTTTGCTTATGCCCCTCTATGCTTTTCTCCCTACCTCCTCTCTGAGGCCATCCCAAAGTTCCAGTGGCCTTAAGGAACCTCTTCCCCAGACCACTCAAGGGCAATGCAAGGATGTTTTAGTGTGTCTCCCCACTAGACCAAGCAGGAACTGGGTTTGCCCAACTTGGCATCAGGAAATGGTACAGTGCCTGTCACAAAGGCCACAAGGTTGCTGTGTGAAGACAGGTGGCTTCTCACCAGTCAGCAGTGCAGCTTGAGGGCAGAGGTTATCTCTCACCCTGGCTACCTCCTTCAGCCCTGCACCCTTAAGAGGGCACTGAGTGGTGGTTCAGGACTCCCCGGCCTGAAGGCTAGGTAAAAAAAATGTTCTCTTCCCTCCCTATTTCTTACCAGTACCCCACTCCCCAGTGAAATTCAGCTGACCCTATGCTGGACAGCTCTCATGGTTACAAATTCTGTGTTCCAGCTAGAATTTGACTTAAAAAAAAAAGGGCTGGCTCAGCCCTTGAATTTTACAGTTGCAGAAACTGAGGTTCAAGGAACACATGCAAACTCACATCTCCAGAGTCCATATTTGGGGCCCTCTCACCCACTGCTTCAAGATTTGCACACAAAAGAGATGGCATGCCCATCTCTTCAGTGCCCTCCCTGCCATATCCAAAATGCTCTCTGGCCACTCACTTAAGATCACTGTAGATCTCAAGGACTCTGGGATCTCTTGAGTTCAACAAACACACCTGAAAGGGCCTCTGCGGGGTGCCTCCTCTTCCCATCCCACCCCACTCCCATAGTCCTAAGGCCTTGCAAGTGTCTCTCACCTGGTCTCCGTGTCCTTGGCTGGTACTGGTGGCCCGAATCCGACGAGCGAGCGCTCCCCAGGCCCAGGGAAGAGCTCGGAAGGAGGGGCTCCGGCTGTCGAGGAGCCCGCGGTGCTGCGGGTCTTGCCTCCGGGACTCTCAGCGAAGACAGAGGAAGAGCCGGAATCTTTTCGGAAAGACTGACGCACAGGCGAGCCCCGGCTAGGTGGCCCTGAGTAGGGGCTGTGAGGCGGCGGGGGCCCTCCGGGGGGCGCTGCCACGTCGGCCAGTTTCTGTGGTGAGGAGGGCGGCAAGCGGAAACCATAGCTGTCGCCGTAGATCGGGCCGCCGCCGCCGGCCGCCTTGTACAGCGAATCCTCCAGGTCCGACTGCAGCGCAGCGGCCGAATAGGTGCTCAACGAGCGCACCGAGCCGCGTTTGTACAAGCCGCCTGCGCCGGGGTAGGCGAACGGGTCGCCGGCGGCCGCGGCCAGGCTCAGGCGGCCCTCGTGCAGCAGCCCATAGGGATCGGCGTAGAGGCCCTCGCCCTTCACCAGCACCATGCCACCCGCTTTGCCCGCCAGGTCCTCGTCCGGTTTGACGTCGCGACGCTCCAGGATGGCGCTTGGACTGGGGCTAACGCCCTGGGTGGCAGGGGCACCTCCCAGTCTCTCTGCCGCGTGGTGCACGGGGCTGCCAGCGTAGGAGGGCGGGCGCCCCCCAGCGTAGGAGAGACGCGAGCGCGATGGCGAACCCGACGGCAGCCCCGACGGCAGCCCAGATGGTAGCCCGGGAGGCGGGGAACCAGATGCCAGGTGAGGTGCCGGCGACAGGTTATTGAGCCGCCGAGTGGGCGATGACTCCCGCGAAGCATACACCATCTCTCTCTGCGCAGAAGACAGCTCCTTAACCCCACAGGGCTAGTCACAAAGGGAACCCTTTTGCCCTTGCTTGAGAAGCCAGCATCAAGTCCCCTGACGCCCAGCAAGTCCCTGTTCTCTGCCTTTCCTCTCTCCTGCAGTGTATTTTGGGCACCTTACCCATCAGGGCTCCCAGCACAGGTGTGTGAGGGTGTGTGGCAAAGTTGTAGATGGAGAAGCAACAGAGGGGCACCCCTCAGCCCGCCCCATTGTGGGGGTGGGGAAGTCAAGGAGAATAAGTGGCTCAGGAGAGAGGCCTTAGAATACCTAGAGGTCTGTTAGAGAAGTCCTGAGTGCAAAGGACTGGAGCAAGGATGAAGTGGCGGTGAGAGGAGAGGGCTCCTCCATTAATTCCATAATTAAGGGGTCAGCCCCCTTAATTCTCCTAGTCTTCCCTGGTTCCCTTGACATTTGCCCACATTTTACCTGCCTGGGCCACTTTCTGTCAGCCTCTCCAATTCCGTGAGCATCCCCATTCATACCCTAAGGTCCCCGCCCTGGGTATCCCCATTCATACCCGAAGGTCCCCGTTGGTGAGGTGTGAGCCAGGGAAAGCAGCATACAGTGGTTCCTTCCTATAGATCTTGATAATACTTCGGTCCTGGATATCCCTGGGGGAAGGGTGCAGAGGGTCACCATGCATCTCTCAGGCATGCAGTAAGGAGAGGCAGCTACTGCTCACAGAAAAAAAGAGAGGTGGCAAGGGGACCAGGACCCCAACCCCTTCCTAAGTCCTCTGCTCAGTGGATCTTGGTGTCTTGGGCTGTCTGCCACCAACACACACACACCACAGCCTCCACCGGGACCACTTCCTCAGCCTGTGAAGCCATTTCCAGGTTAAGTCAGGTCGTGTCTCTCAAACCGCAGGGATGGGAGATTTAGAAGGGAGGGGGTGAGGGGACCAGATGATCAGGCCCCGGAGGAGAGGGGAAGGGCAGAGGGAAGGTCTAGAAGGAGCTGGGGAAGGGCCTTGGGGGTAATCTCCTGGGGAGGAGTATAGGGAAGCCCACCCATTCCCCTGGGGCCGCGCCCACCGAACGTCCTCCAGCTCGTAGAAGACGTTGCGCGCCTCGTCTTTGATGAGGATGGCGGTGTTTGGCGACTTGAGCATGCCCATGGTGAGCTTCTGCGGGAACATGTGCGCGATGAGTGCATGCAGCGTGTCCAGGCTGCTGACCTCGTGCGTGATGTGCACGCGCCGCGTCTCCTCCCCAAACTGCAGGAACAGCACCCCTGCGAAGGAGATGCCACCTTCGTTGTTATTGCCCCCGCTGCCAGACCAACCGCCCGGAGAGCAAGGGGAGCCTTCGGGAGCTGAGCCGGTCCCACAGAGGCAGGGTCTGAGGCTGGATGCGGCCCCCGAGTGCAGGTGCACCCAGGCACTCCTCATGCTGCCAGGGCTTGCCTCCCAGAGCACCAGGATCCCAGGCAGCAGGATCGGGAAACGGGGTTGTGGGCAGGAGAAGGTAGGGCAAAAACTGGGAAGGGGTTAGGGAAGGGTAGAGAGGTGCTGAAGGAGAGAGAGAGAGGGAAGAGAGGTAAAAAGGGAGGGATGAAGGAAAGAGGGACTGCTCTATAAGAGAAAGGGCTAAAAAGCCTAGTAGGAAAAGAGAGGGCTGGGGTAGAGAGGAGGGAGGGCGGGAGAGGAGAGAAGGGAAGGAAGGGGCAGGGGATGATGAGGCAGAAGGAGGGGTGGAGAAAGAGAGCAGAGGGGCCCTGACAGGGGTGGTCACTGGGAAAGAGGGATTTGAGCTCAGGAGGGATGTAGTGGTGTAGCGGATGAGGAGGGCTGGAGGAGACGAGCAGAGGGAGGAGCCTGCCTGGTCCGTACCTGGAGATCGCAGTTTGGTCTGACTGGCTGAGCGAGAGAGGGGCAGGCTCTGTCGGAAGCGGTTCATCCTGCTAAAGCCCAGGGGCAGCTCAGCTTCCGACATGGTCTCCAGCGACTCAGCTGAGGCGTAGGACAGCTTGGCTGCCTGGTCTGCCAGCCCCGGCTGAGCTCCCTGAGTGTGACGCGAGCTGCGGGTCTGCAGGGACAGGGCAGGGCAAGAAGAATCAAGCATGATCCCGTTGCCTTGCCACTGCCTCAGTCCAGGCCCAGGGAGCTCCCACCAGCCAGCCAGCGACAGGCGGTACACAATCACAGGAGGGTCTCCTGGATTCCAGACCCATTGTATGGCTGCAGGAAGGTCCCCCCACCTCTTGGGGCCTTGACCTCCCTGGGACACCCAACAGGTAAGCAGTGGGCAAAGGACTCAGGCAACTTGGGAAGCCAGACAAGAAGCCATCTGAGCTGGAGCCACAGGCACGCCTGCTATTTTAGGCTTCCAAAGAACAACAACAACACAAATTTGTCACCGAGGTGAACAGCAGAATCGTTGAGCAAATTGGGGCATTAGTTCCAGACATTAATTAAGCGGCGGGTTTGTGAGCGGCGAATTTATTCTTCCTGGAGTTCAGAGAGCTGGGGGTGGTAGTAATGGGAAGTAGGGCCCAGGGAGAAAGCAACAGCAAGGGACCCAGAATCCCAGTGTTGGGAGGTATGGGCTCTCACAGAGCTGGACATGGAGAATGTCCTTGATTTAAGGTGACAAGAAAACTATCCCAAACCCCTCAGTGCCAGTTAGAACCCAGATTCAAACAAACTACATGCTTAGTACCCACTACACATGTGAAGTCCAGTGTGATACACGTGACCACAGGGTGTGTGTGTCAAGCCTCGGCCCCTCTCTGTGAGGTACAAGCTGCCATGTGGCCAGACAGCCTGGCTGGCCTTGTCCCAATCCCCAGAATGACAGTCCCTTCCCTGAAGCTATAGTTCTGGATAATGGCTGGGGGTAGGGAAGGACGTCACAGACAGCTGGATTGCTCTCTCCTTGGGGGTGGGGGTGTCACACTATGATTTCAATTGTACTTGAAGAGCTTACTATTAGCTGAAGCCTGGGGTTGTCATCCAGGGCCACCACCCCTGCCATTCTGCCCCAATTCTTCCCCTCAAACCAGGTTGCTGTACAAAAGCTCATTTATTTAAGGAAGTAAGAAAATGAATCAGATCTAGATCATTCCATATTATGTACATTATTATGTATATATTATGTATGCATTTGTTGTATAAAAGTCATGTTCTCTGATTGTATTTTTCTATAAAATAAATTGATATTTTTAACAATAGATCACTCAAAATCAGTAATACAAGCTATCTCAGTGTTGAAAGAGAACTATTATTTTTAGTTTCATACACACTTCTTTAAAATTAAGTGAATTTTATACAATTAGAATATCTTACTTTTATATTTTAAAGAGACAACAATAATAGTATCTCTGAAAAGAAATAATTTATTCCCCACGTTAGCTCCCTCTTTCCCAAAATTCTGATTAACCCCTAATTAATTTCCATCTTTCTATTAACTCAATTTAATGTTCTAATCAGATTAGCACTCTTGATGAGAGAGCATCTTCCTCTGATGGGCAACGTGCCCAGCTGTCCCCAAGGTGGCCTTAAGGGCTAGTGGACTTGGGAGGTCAGATTTGGGAACTCTGAGGGGCAAGCACAATGTCAGGAGTAGGGCTGGGCTGGCAGTCTTGGGGTTGCCAGGCTTGTAAGGGTGAAGGGGTCACCAATGCAGGCAGAATGAGGCAACTGGTAAACATAAAAGTAGGGGGTCCACAGGGCTATGGTGGGGGACACAAGTGAGATGCCAGAAAGAGAATGGAACGGGGCAGCATGAAGGGGGCAGCATTCCTGGGGGTGGCTGGATGCAGAAACAGGAACCCTGGGAGAAAAAATAATTGCCACATTCCCTGTTTCACATGTTCATGTCTCTGTTGTGACCCCAGGAACGCCTTTCCATTCTCACAGACTTTATAGGTAACCCTGCCCCAAAGAAGGAAAGCCCATCACACTTTTCTTCATCCCTGAGCTGAGACAACAGGGCAGAGGAAAGTGAGACATCTAGAAGGACTTTCCAACCACTAAGGAGATGGCAAGAGAACAAAATAGTGATTGCAGCAGAGCTCTCCAAAGACGGGAAAGGGGTTGCTGTGGAAGGCAGTGAGCACTATCCTTGGAGCACCTTCGGGGAAGATCATGACTTCTGGTCAGAGGCCAGGCAGAGGGCATCAGGGGTCGGGTGGTCAAAGCAGGATCGGAGCTTCCCCAAGGCTGCCTACAGCCTGGGGCAGAAGCACTGGGAAGCGTTTACAAACCTCTTTCTCGGACCTCACAATCAGATTTTGGAATCAACAAGGATTCTGACAGCCTTTGAGGTTGGCCACCATATAAATCTTGCTGTGAGCCAGACACTGCCTAGACTGGCATTTTCTTATTATATCTTTATAACAATTTAATGATGCAGACATCCTTCCGCTTTACAAAGGAGAAGTTAAGGCCCAGAAGACTGGAATGTACATTGCTCTGGGTCACTAAGCTAGTTAGTGGCAGACTGGAATTCACTACCAAGTAATCTGGCTCTCAGGCTCATGCATCTAACCACTACACTCTCCTGCCTCCTTCAAAGAGCCTATGCTTAACACCAGGATACTAAGATCCTGGGACTCCCTGATTCAAGGACTCCTGGCGGTGCTCTGGGAGAATGCATGCAAACAAGACCTGGGATTCGGGATGGTGGCCTCCCATCCCATCATGATGCCTGAGAGAGGGCCTAGACTCCAGCAAGCAAGCAGTAGTCTAACTGGTTCCGCTCGGCTCTGGGCCTGGGCACCAGGGAAGATGGATGAGGGTGCTCCCATAGGGGTCAGCAGGATGTCCTGGGGAGGGTAGACAGCTCCCTAGCTTTGGATAACTCCAAGCTCTCCAAAGGAGGCCAGAAGGCACCACCCCCGAGCCTAGCCCTCCACTTAGAAAACAGGTTTTAGGGGTACAGGACAGTGTCTTGCTTGACAGTCACTAGCTCCTCCACAGCGGGGGAGTAAGAAAGGGAGTCACAGGACCTCCCCAGGAGGTGCAATCTGAGTTCGAGGAACGAGGCCTCAACAAGATCATGGGTTCAGGGCCCTGACTCAGAGCCAGCAGATTCTCTGGGCTGGGGAGACCTTCTCATTCCAAAATGCCCCTTGTGGACTGGGAAAGTCTAGGGACAGAGCACCTCCAGCCCAGATCTCCAGCAGAGGTGGCCCAAACTCCCAATCAATCCACAAGCCCCTGGCAGGTGAACCCAGTCTTTCCCAAAGCAGCAGCCACAGCCTGCAGCAGCCACAGCCTGCAGCCCCAAAGCCCACGCACCCACACCAGAGGGGGCCCTGCAGACTCACACCCCGGTGCAAAGCATGTGCGAGGGAGGGACGGGGCAGGGGAGAGACAGCACATGCAGTTGTCATGGGAGCGGAAGCATCACACACTGACCTTGAAACTCCAGTAGTTTGGCTGCTGATGGAAATAAGAGAAGAGATGGTTATGAGGGGGCAGGGAGGAAAAGGGCAGCAGGGGGCAGGTTAGAGACCCTTGGAGCTCAACATTCAGCCCTGGGACATGGGCCCTCCACCCCCTCAGGAGCAGGAAGGAAGTAATGCCCATTACATCCCATTCTCTTCTGAGACCTGAACACCTTGGTGCACCCAGGATGGGAAGGCTTCAGGTTTGCTGGTGGAGGCAGGAGAGAGCATTCCAGATATTTACTAGGCACAACTCTAAAGTAACAGCCCTCAGAAAGATACATGTAGGAAAAGGCACAGACGACCATGATATAGGGACCCAGGAGAGAATTTAAAAAATAAATCTGGGCCATAGGGTCAGAGAGATGGCACCGGGATGGGTTGTAGCAGGCCAGGGAAATTTTCCCAGAAAAGATGGCATTTGAGCTGGGTCTTGAAAAATGAGCAGCTGGAGATTGGAAGGAAAGGTTTGTTGGGTGGAGAAGAGAATGGGCGGGCACCAGGAGCAGGCAAGAAAGAGTGTGGGAGAAGAGTCCACAGTCCAGGCTGCTGGGGCCGCAGATTGGGCTGCAAAGGGGCCTGAGGCCAGACACCAAGTGACCTTCAATGCTGAGTATGTAGACTCAAGTCTCAGGGGTGGGAGGGAGGCAAGCAAAAGGCACATTAATGGAGCAGAGCAGGATCAGAATTGGACCCCAGCAGGGCACAGAGCTGGGGGTGGAAGAGGGCAGCTGGGTCCCAGGACAGGGCAGGGAGGCCTGTGTGACAGGATGGGCCTTGACCATGGAGGAGAGTGGACAGATGCCAGTGACTCCCAGCACTGGGCAATGAATAGGGAGCTGTGGGCAGCAAAGGAGCTGGGGAGACTGGGGACTGGGCAATACCCTGGGGCTGGGTAGAGATAGAGGGTTCCTCACATCCCTAGAATGGGGGGATTAAGGCTCCCCTCATTCACAGTAACTTGGGTCACCCTGCCTTCCCTAGAGACCAGAAGGCCCTTCCAGATGGCTGGGAACAAGGAAAGAGCCACCCTGAGGCCGGGCTGGTTCTTGGCAAGGCTGAGGGCACCCTGCTGACCGGTGCCAGCCTCAGCAGGAAGATAGAGGCAGCAGATGGCCTGGCCCTGGGGTGCCTGGCACAAACAGGCAAGAGTCCCCGGCCTCAGAGCCATGGCAGAGAAAAGGGGCATTGGAGGTTCCTGATGGGGAAGGACACCAGGCTTGAGTATCCTGTACCACCCAAAGGCCGTCATGGCTGGGAGGAGTTGGAAAGGGGCTGAGTGGAAGGGTGCCCTGACTGACAGGCTATACTAAGGCAGCCCTTTACCGTGGGGACGAGGCTAGCAGGGACTGGGATGAAGAGGTTCATTTGCCAGGACTGCCCCCACCAGATCCCTGATGGCCATCTCTCCCTGTAACACTGGCTCCAAAAGATGAAAAACTAGTCACATACCAGGCAGAAGAAGGCAAAGTCTGTACCCCAGCCAATGCCTGGGATAATCTATGGACACGCCTCCCCCCCCCCCGCCCTGTCCCCCACTGGTGCTAGGGGATGCTCACAAGCAGAGAGGGGACAGGCTGAGTAACAGGCTCTACCCACAGCTGCTGTGGCCTTGAAAGAGGAGGGGAGGGAGAGGGAGTGGAACCCTAGGGGGCAGGCAGAGCCAAGCAGAGGGCACTGGAAGGTTTATGAGAGTCAGGTTTGCAGACTGGCTGTGATGGACGGCTCTGCAGAGAAGGCCTGTGTCCCTCACTCCCCAACCCAGGCACAGACAGTGTGTACAGGGGCCACCCACAGCTCCCCACAACACACACGCTCCCACACAGCCTCACACAGACTTTTACATCCTTAGATAAGGACATCACCAACACACCCAGAGCAACAAAATACACCCACCAAGGCACACAAGCACTTAGAAGCTATCAGAAATAGCCCCAGAAATAAACAGAAACTCAGACCTTTACATATGGGGCCATCCCCACTCACACACACACACATGCCCAGGACCCCAACCTGCTCACATGCAGGATCTCACAGGCATAGAAGACAGAAGCACTGACACCATTCATACCACCCTCAGTATACGCAGAGTCCCCATCACACATGACATGTGGACACCCATTCTCCTCACACTCTCTCTCTCTCTCTCTCTCTCCAGAAACACAAATCATTGAACACACAGTACACACACATGGCCTTAGAGAAAGAGTCATTACTCTCTTTTGCTTTACTAGCTGGATCCAGGTGCCTCTGACAACCTTAGCCACTCTCCCATGCCTATGATGTCCCAAACATCGCATGTCAAGGCAGTGATCTCTTGAATTAAGAGAGGCAAAAGGAGCCCCACCCCCACCCCGCCACCAATGTCTGAGCATTGGACTCAGGGTACCTTATGAAGATGACTGGGACCCACTTTGTATCCCTGAGAGGGAGATGGGGCAGGGCCTGGCTACAGCCACACTGGCTATGCCCTCAATGTGGGCCTGCCCCAGGGTCCCAAGACTGGCACATTCATGGGGCAGTCTTCTGGAAGGAATGGATCATAAGCATGGCCCAAAGCATAGGGTGGTGGCATCAGTGCCACAGGAAAGGTCAGCCAGTCCCCAGGAAAGGGTACACACGGAAGAGGAGCCACATTTGTGCCTAGGGAACAACTTGGGTATCTGAGTGATACTATGATCAGAATCCTGGGACTTCTGGATCTGAGCTGTTAGAGCCTCTTTGAAGTGAATCCTGCTTCTTCACCCTCTGAAAAGTAAGGAAGAATGATCCTCTTCCATATTGAGCTGCCAGGCCTGAGGCCTCTGGTTTCCTGGTAATTCACTGTGTTCTGGGGGGGAAACTGCAGTGGGAAGAGGCCTGAGGAGACAGCCCATCCTCTGTCTCCTCCAGGGTGTTGACCCAGGGGCAGCCTGGGGTGAGCAGAGGCTCCTTCCCTTTTTTTCCAAGGGGCACACTCCCAGTCAGTCACTCTCCACCCAACTCCAGCCCCTTTTCCCCTGTTGTCTATTCCCTCCTGCTGTGCCAACAAGTGCCCAGCTTGTAGCAGGCCCTCAACAAATAGGTGACAGAGAATAAAAGCCAACAAAATAGGACCAGCCCACGAGGAGGAGTGGCTTCGAATACTTTGGTCAGGCCCCACTCCCTCCATCTCCTGGCACCCAGCTGCTCAGCCTTCTGGGCCTATTCCCTGGGAATTTCCCAGGACCAGAAAGCCCCCTGGGAAAGAGGGCAGAGGACAGGAAAGGCCCAGAGGTCCAGCTCCCCACCCCTAGCACAAACCTTAATACTAAGGCAGAATGACCTCCCTCCACACTCTCCAGGAGGGGTCTGGACTTCCCAGAAGGCAGTGAGAAGGCAAATGAAGAAAGGGCTGTGAAGGAGAGACCCAGCCAGGGGCAACCACTGGCAGGAAAGATCTTGCAGGAGTTGGGGCAAAATAAGAGGGATTCTAAAAGGTTAAGATGGAAACCCAGCATCCCTTGGGACAAGGCTTTCAGAAATAGGGAAAGGGGCTCTCCAGAGACCTAGGGGAGCAAACCAACTCTTTGGTGAGCAGAGAAAACAGCTTTTGCCTGGAGCTGAGGGTTAAAGCCCCTCCCTCTCCCACTCCCACTCCTTAGGGCTGGTAGAGGGGAGCTGGCCATTCCCTCTCCCCAACCCAGGCCCTGTGGCAGGGGCGGGTCAAGCCTCTTGGGAGGCTTAGCTCAGCCAGCTGAAATCCCCCACCATCCCTTGGGCCCAAGTCTCCTGTAGATTAGGTGAGTGCATGAACCTCCTTGACCTCAAGCCGCTACTACGCAGCCTCCCACAGGAAGGCCAGTCAATGGTGCGCACCCCCAGCCCCTTAACCCCCTGACTCGGCGTGCACGACGCACACACCCACCTCTCAACTCCCTTGAACCCAAGTCCACGTAAACACCCGCCCCCAGCCTGGGGCTACGCAACGCGCCCCAGCGGGCGCCAGCTCCCCCCGCCACGCGCAGGCACCCTGCCCCCAGGTGTGCGGATCGCCGCCCACACCTACCCCGGCCCGACGGGGAGTGCGTGCGTGGAGGGGGGTGCTGCGGGATCCGCCGCACCGCCGGGGGCCAGGGCGCACCCCGCGAAGGTCATGACTTTCCAAGGTTGGGGGAGGGGGTGCCTGCCGCATTTAGGGGTGGGGGCCGTCCCGCGCGGAGAGCACCTAATGCGGTGGGGGAAGGGAGGGGGCGTTTCTCAGAGACTGGGAACCCGCAACGGCTGCGCGCTCCCCAGCCCGGGATCATCCCTGAGTGCCGCAGAGCGGGACCCCCATCTCCGTGTCCCCGCCCCCTGACGAACCCAAGGCTGCGACCCCGGCCCCACAGCCGCTCCCCCTTACCTGTGGCTACAGGTGTATGCGCGGGGCCCCAGCCCCGGATCCCGCCTAGGGCGGGGGAGGGAGGGCCGCCCCCTACACCCACCCGCCTGGGCTCTCCCCTCCCCCGGCCGCCTCCGCAGCTGCCGCCGCCGCCGGTGCCCTTTGCTGCAATGCGAGAGCCGCCGCCGCCGCCGAGCCGGCCCGGGCCCTGGTCGCCCCGGTAACCGCGACTCCACCTGGCGCGGCGCGGCGCGCCGCCGTGCACATCCCCTCTCTCGGCCCCCTCCCCTGGCGCGGCCCCGCCGGCGCAGCCCCGCCGCGGAGCGGCGGAGGCTGGTGGCTGCGTCGCCGCGGTCACCCGATACGCCGGTCCGCCGCCCGGGACTCGGGTTGCAGCAAGAGGAAGGGAGGTTAGACAGCCTAGTGGAAGCGGGGGGAGGGGCTATGGCTTGGTCTAACCTCTAGTCGCTTCCCGCGGTCCTCTTCACTGTGCCCACCCCTAAAGGTCTGACCTACCGCCGCTTTCCAGCTCACAGCCTCCCCTCGCCAGGGTCTCAGCTGTGCACTTGTCCTTTTAATTCTCCTATGATTTAATCCCTAGCCAGTCTGGAAAGCCTATGACGCCTAAATTTCCTTGTTGGCCTCTGATGGATCTTGCCCTGCTGTGTGACTCTGGTCCTCTGCTGAATGTCTCTGTTCCTGCACTTTAGAAAAAAAAAAAAAAAACAAACCTCAGACTCAGTTCTGGGGGATAAGGGGTGTGATGAATTCTAAGTATCAAGTGATTGCAAGATCTTGTGCACAGCCACTTTCTCAGGTAATTACAAAGCCCTGGGGCAAAGGTCCCCTCAAGCTCTCCTTTCTCCACAAGAGCAGATTCCAGATGTGGACATACTAGAACTCCACCACCTGAGACAACTGAGCTTACCAAGTCCAGCCTCACTCCTGTCGGTCACCCTAACCTTATCACAGCCCAAGATGCTCCATCAGGGGACCTCTTGGGGAGGGGGATAGACACCCAGAACCTCCCTGTGCACGTCACACCTGTCCTCTGCCCCATCACCAAGTCTTCTAAGCCCCACTTTGGCCTCCACCACACACTTAGTCACTCAGGACAAGTCTCTCACTTGCTGTCTAGCGTTGGGAGCAGACACATCCCTGTTCCCCAAAGTTCAGCCAAGATGGGAGGGAGAACCCGAAAGGAAGTGGGCAGAGTGCCCTGAGTGATGCCAGCACCAATCTGTTGCTAGATGGAGTTAGCTCAGCTTAGACGGCCATGCTCTGGAGGCTTGTGTCCTATGTGGTCACAATTTTCTTTCATTTAATTTTCAAGCCCCGTTGCTCTTCTCCATGAGGCATGGCTGTGTGAGGAACTGGCACCCCTTCCCTCCACTGGATCTGGCCACTATCCCTCCTCAGCTTCCTAAGCTGAACATCCTCAAGCCCAGCCCCTCCTGGGCAGTCCCCTCCCTATTGCAACGGACTCCCTGGTCCCTCATCCCCCCTTGGGCCTCAGATATCTCCCATGTCAGTGTCCAGGCTTGAGCTGGAGCCCAGCCCTAGTGTCCTAAGTGTGTCCCATCAGGGAAACTGAGACTTGATGAGAAACCTGGGAACAAGGACAGAACCAATGGCAAGATGCCCAAGTGTTCTTAAAAACTTGAGATTAAGCCTTGAGCATAGAAAGACGGGTGGGAGAGAGACATCCTGTAGCACTTCCTGATGGTAGATCATCAGAGGAAGGTTGGTGGTGCTCAGAAATGGAAGAGTAGGGTGTGGATAAGGGAATAAGATGATCTCCTGAGGGGGGTGGAGAAGAAGAGACCTCTGGAAATGCAAGGAGCAAGATGGGATATGGGATTCTCCTTTTTAAAGGAGAAAGAATGTAGAAGTGTGTGTGTGTGTGTGTGTGTTAGTCCTGAGCATGGTCCCTCAAAAAGCTCCTTCCTCCAAACCAGCTAGTTTGGGGAGGTCATTGTAGGAAATTAGATAACCAGGGGAGTTGCAGGTACAGGCCATAGATGTCTCCCCAAAATGGGGGGGGGGTCCTACATAAAAGAGAAAGGATTGCAAAATTAAAATTCTGGATATCCCCCCTCCAAAAGAAAAAATTCCTCCCCAAAGCCAAGCTCTGCCATGGGTTTGGGGGTGGTGGAGGTGGGTGACTCACCTGGGCAGGCTGGCCAGCCCCGGAGGGGGCGGAGTCGCCATGGAGGTGGGAGCAGAGGGAGCTGAGGAGGCACACAGGGTCCACGGTCCAGCCGCCAACCTGTGTGTGTGAAGCGGGGGACACCCCATTAGGGGGAGCGGGCAGGAGCCGCTGGGGCTGTGACAGGGCAGGGAAGGGCATGGCTGGGGCAAGCCTTGGGGCACAGAGGTCACACCACAGAGGGATGGAGGGTCTCTTACATTGGCTGCATCTCTAACTAGTACCAGGGCCATTTCTGGATGTTTGTCTCTCCTGTCGGGAGGAGGGTTCCCTGAGCCCAGAGCAGGGGCTTCCCTACCAGATATTCCTGAACTAAATCCCTGTGTCCTTCCTGACTTCCTCCCAGTGCCTGCCTGCCTGCCACATATTACACAGGGAGCTGCTCCTGGCCTTCTCCCTCCTCCTGAGGATGCCACCTCAGGCCTCACAGACATGGGAACACTGAGTAGGAACAACTTCACCCCACTTGTCTCTGCCCCAACAGCACATCTCCTTTCCCTGTTAACTCAGTGGAAGTGACTTCCTCTCCTACCCCAAGGCCACCAGACCTGATTCCTCGGGGACCCGTCCTCACAACCCTCTGGGCTTCAGCATCTTCAGCTTCATACCTCCCTTCCCCTGAGGGCCACTGAGCCAGTGTCATGCTTAGGCCCCCAGCACCCTGTGACATGTGAATTGGCCACTTAGACTCCGAGGGAGGGAATGGATGCTCAGAGAGTGGTTGTGCTTGGATTCACTCCCTGGGTATTTGCTCATGCCAGTGAACATGCCAGCTGCCTATGAGGCCCCTAAACATGGCCACATCCTGTCTCCCAGGCCTGCCACCCCTTGAAGCTACCACCAGGATAGCTTCATTTCCAGCTAAACCTTCCCAGAAGGTCTGTGGTCAGGGCTCTGGTTCGTCACCATCTCCGATCTCCTTAACCCCTGAAATTGGCCATTACGTCACTATGCCAAGAGAAATGAGTCCTTAGCCCTCTCCGGGCCCATAACTCCTGGCTGCTCCCCACTCACTCATCTGGACTTCGGAAGTACAGGTCCTCTTCCAGCAGCTGCTCCCTAGGGCCTTCCTTTTCTTCCTCATGGATGCAGAAGTTTCCTGGTACCCTTCCCTGACTATCACAGGCTCTCTTCTCTCTGCCTTGATGGCCCTCTTATGTCCCAGGACCTACTTCACAAGTCTCCTCCTGAAGCTGTGGTTGCTCTGAAGTTGGAGGCATCCTCCCTGAAGGCCCCACCCACTCCTCAACTCCTCTTATATTCCTCCCCCCCAGACATTTCCTCCCCACCCTCCTGATCTCTCCAAGGCACCAACATCTCTCTGTCACCCTATTTTTTCCCGTCATTGCCTCCTAGATCCAGGCAGCAAACAACTTGCGCTTAGTCACCCCTCCCATCGCCACCCCTTCTTTTCATCCTTCCAGGTATACTCTTCCTCTTCTCCTTTCCTTGCCTCCAGCCCCCTAGGGGCCCTCCTAGTCACCATTCCAAAACAAGCATGTCACCACGCTCTCTGGTCCCAATTTCCAGCCTTCCCTTGTATGTATATCCCGCAGCTCCCCAACCCCCTGAGCCTCTGGCACCAGCCAAGGGGAAATCTGCGCCACTCCCCAAACCAACTCTGGTATATGCTCATGCCACTGCCCCCCACCCCCGCACCTCCAAGGACAGCATTCTCTTCCTCTCCTCAAACCCTTTCCTCCTTCCAAGCAGCTTTTCCTTCTGGAAGCCTTCCCTGATCAGGTCTGCCCACCTGATATCCCCTCCTCTGAACCCTCTCCATTCGAACTGTGTCCCTCATACAAAGTTTAACCATCCTTCCTCCCCTTTCCCCCCATTTGTCATCAAATGCCCCTGTTCCCACCAAGCCAGAGCACACAGGGCAACCATGGAGGGCCAGATGCTCATCTGTAGCTCTTCTTTATCCCAACCTGACCCTGCTCCCAGGAGGACTCTGGAGCTGGGGGAAGGCAAAAGCCAGACAGAACTAGAGGTGACCTCAGGGGGCGCAAACAGGGTACCAGAAATGTGCCAATGTGTCCTTGTTCCCTGCAGTGAGGGTAGGGACAGGGATGCTTCTCCCCAGCCACACCCAGTACTACCTGGATAAGGGAGACAGAGCAAGACAGAGCGACACTCCCCAAGTATTGACTGAAAGGATGCTAATTTGATGTGTCACCATCCCTTAGTCTCTTCTCCCAGAGGGGACAATACCTGAGTCTCAGCAGCTAATGTGCAGCAATCATTAAGGCACCCCACAAATTCAGAACAGAAAGCAGAATACTAGTCCCAAGAAAGAACTTTCTTACAGATCAGAAGCTCATGCTTGGTGGAGGGGTGCAGTCGGGAACCCAAGGATTGGGGGAAGGTTGAAAAGGGAAGCGTTGGGCCTGGGGCGTAGCTTGGTGATGGAGCCCTGGCCTAGCATGCATGCGCCCCACCCCAAATGGAAGGAAAACGTCCAGTCCAGAGGCGGAGGCAAAGGCCCCAACTCCCTCTGTAAGCAGGAAACAAACAAAGCAACACAGAGAGAGACCTCTAGCTCAGAATCACTCAGTGAGTCTTGGGATGAATCAGGGAGGAAGAGGTAAAAGACCCCAGTTGGGGCTCTATTCTTGAAGGGAGTGTGGACACATCAGATCCACCCTGCTGAGAATTCACAGACCCCACCTCTTAGGGCCCACTGGGGGTGCCAAAGCCAAACATTCCAACTCCACCACTGGGCAGACCCTTGGGCTCAGAAGCCTCAGTCCCCATGGCTGTCCCTTCCCTTCCTCCCAGCCACTGCTCGGCCTCCAAGGCACACCTTCCTGCCCTTCTGCCCAAACAGCCTGAGGTGAAAAGGCTGGGTTCTCTCTACTCAATCCGTGCTCCAAATGCCACCACAGCTGAGCCCCCAATCCGCTTCCCCAGGCTCCAGAAAAGGCCAGCCAGGGCCACTGCCCTGGGGAGACAGTTCCCCAGCTCTGCCCTCCCGCCTCCCATCTGCCGCAGACGCCTCTCATTTGGATTGAGCCTGGGGCACGGGAGCACCGGTCAGCCTCCCTCCCCGCCCGCCGCCCCAGCCCGCAGGGCTCCCACTCACCTGCTCGCGCATCCTGTCCTGCTGGCCTCGGAGGGCCAGGGCGTGCTGGGGGTACTTGCTCTTCAGGTGGTCCATGAAGGCATCACGCTTGCGATCGGCGTCCGCCTTCTGGAGCCCGCTGAGAGCCTCCAGGCTCTGGGCGGCGATCACCGTGTGCCGCCGCTCCGACGTGTGCACCAGCCCCACGTTGGAGAAGCGCCGGCCCCCGCCGCCCCCGCCGCCCCCTCCCCCCAGGGTCCGGTACTCCCGCGGGTACTCGGCATCGTCCGCAGACAGCATGGGGGGGCTGCTCCGCTCCGGATCTGCGAGAGGGGAGAGGGGCGCAGCGGGGTCACGGCGTGCCTGGCCTGGGGCTGCCACCCCCACCGGGGGTCCCTGCGGGGCGGGTCGCAGCCGGCCTAAGCTTAGGGACAGAAAGGCTTCTGGGGTGTGTTCAGAGTTGCCGGTCCCCCCGTGGGGTACTAAGGGAGGGTAGACCAGGTGGAAAGTTCACTTAGCGAGGTGTGGGTGGGGAGCAAGGCCAGGAAGCAACTTCGTGTTCCTCCTCCTGAGGCTGGGGCGATAATGACAGTGGGAGGTGCTGTCCTTGAGACCAAAGCATGAGGAGTGGGGCAAAAGGTGGGACACCTTTCTGGTCACACACCCCTTCCCCTTTCTAAAGCTGGTGTACACAGGAGCAGGAAAAGGAGGAGGTGGCTTTTCTATGCTCCTGAAAGATGTAAAACGGAGCCTGCGCGGTGCACCTTTCTAGAGCGTCCTCTAAGGAGAGGCTGGAGGCTCTAGCCTTCTCCTTCAGACCTGCATATCCAGGACAGAGTATCCTCAAGGTTGGGGCTGCCTGTAAAAATGGCCAGGACTGGGATACATTGGGGAGTGAGGGCTTCCCAAGGGGATGGAGGCCCAAGGTCTGGGACAGAGGGACCCCCATTTCCCTCCCTTCCCAGAGACAAACAGATAGACAGACAGGAGAGGCTGGCACAGAGAGAACAGCGAGAGATGGATTTGGGACAAACTTAAAGAAAAAAGAAAGCAGACAGAACAGCTCAGTCCCCTACCCCACCACTTTTTCAGTCTCTCCTCCCAACACACACACAATCTCAAGACCCATAAGAGACGCACAGGGGACAAAGGACAGTACAGAAGCAAGAAACAAAGAGAAGGCCGGGGGTTGAGGTCCCCATGCAGAACTCTGAATCCCTTCCCAGATGCCCACCAGACCTGAGCTCCTGGCCTCTCCTGCCCTGCTGTTCCCTACCCTTGAGCTCACATGACCCATGGCTAGAGGTTCCAGAAGTTGTCCTCACCCCACGCTCAGCCATATTCCTGGGCATACAACAGAGTTCTGCCCTTTCTCTCTCCCAGAAATCATCCCCATTGGGAAATAAGCAACCTCCCCAGCACCCACCCATCCCCGCAACCCACCACCCTAAAGCAGCACCCCTTCCAAGTGTAGCCTAGGACTAGGGACTCAGGCCCTGCAGGCCTGATTGTCCCCACACTGCCTGATTGGGGTAGGGGGACTTCTCTAAGTGCCAACTAGGGCAAAAAGGGCTGAGGCTGGGAATTCTGGGACTCGGCCAGATTCACCAGTGCCCCGCCTCCCTCCATGCATCCAGTGTTCATCAGGCCTGCGGCCAAGCCTCGGTTACCCTCTGCCAACCACAGGAGGAAAAGGGGAATTTAGCCGCATTTTAAGAAAAGCCACCCAGGCCACTGAGTCAGACACACACACACTCCTCCCCTGGCCGTGGCTAAGGCATGTACATCTGGAGCTCACAGCCTGAGAGGATCCAGAAACTCCCACCAAAACCATGGGAAGAGCATCTCCTGCCGGCACGGAGATCCGCAGCCTACCAGGGCCTCCCCACCATTATCATGGCCCAAGAGCCCCTATCTCCCTCGTTAGATGGGTGTTACTGTGGTCGTTTCAGAGATGGCTATAGAGACTCAGAGGTCTGGTGACAAGCCCAAAGCTGCAGTGAGTGGTAGAGGCCAAATTTGATACCAGTGTCTTAGGTTGGCACGCCACACTTCCCTTTGCAGATGACAGTTGTATTGAGGGTGCATGGCCCAGAGCAGGGTGGGCTTCCTTGCTTATCTACCAGTCTCCCAGATGCTAGGCATCAGGGTCACCCCCTCCCTTCCTAAGGGATCCTTCATCCGTCACACCACAATCACTGTCCCCTGCTGTGCTCCCCTAGTGAGGTCCAGGTACAGAGATGACTTTGAGAGGAACATTGCTTTATACTGTAATAATTGTACCTTTATTTTTATAAGGATTAGGGAAAAAAATCCCAATGAGAAGGTCCAACTACTGGTTTCATAGATACTGTTCCTTTGTGATCGCAGTGAGATAAGGTTTCCTCTAAGTAAAAGCATTTAAGTTTAAAGTGAGTTAATAAAAACTATATTGAGTTAATACAATGCCAACGGCTCCCTGATATGGAAGAGATCCTGGAACCCGTTCTGGAGTTCAGCCCTAGCCCTGCCCGAGCCAAGACACCTCCCCTTGTGACAGCCAGCCTTGTTCCTCTGCCTTCCTTGGGTTCTGAACATACATAGCTGCGGCTACAGGTTTCTAAATTCCCTCTTCTAGCTGCTAGCCTCCTGGCCCCAGAAGAGACCTTTATCTCCTCCCTGTCCTCCTTCATGCCCTTCCTTCTCTACCTCCTGGGGGGATCTTGGGGGACACGTCTGGAGTGGGCAAGCAGAGTATCTGTCTGAGACGGGCAGTGACTGTGGGGGACCCCCAAGACTCATCTGGCTCTTCCAGGCAGATGATGGCAGAGTGATCCCAGAGCAGGCAGAGAGGGGGCAGAGTGGGAGCCCCAGGCTGTGCTTTGTGACCACAATCTCATCTTTCTGGGGAAGGGCTAGGTAGTGGGGAAGGATACGCTGAGCAGGCCTGAACTGAGACGGGAGCAGGATGAGTCTCACCACCTCTAGAGGCCAGGGCTCGCCCGCCCCTGGCATTGAGGGGACAGTGCAGACTCTGGGGGGTGGGAGATGGGGAGGGAGCTGGAGAGACAACCTGCTAACTCCAAGGGGCAGCAGCAAGGAGGGACTTTGGTTTGAAATGCTTTAGAATCAATTTAAGAACTTTCGAGATTCTTGGCTTTGTTTAACAAAAAGAAGCTGGAGCATCTGAGTACCTCAGTTGTCCTGGCTCCCCACCCCGTACACACTCAACTTCTTTCTGCAGGGCCCAGTGGAGCTGGGAGGACCAGCGGGGCTCCTGGTGGGGGAGCCATCTGGATGCCCTTAGGAGAGAGGTTCCACTGCTGGCCTCCAGGCAACCCTGAAAACTCAGACATGACTTCATCTCCTGGGGCCTCCCAAGCACCTCAAGTCAGAGCACTGGGAGAAAAAAGCCCTGCCAGAGAGGCACCTGGGTTTAGTCACCTCCGTCCTCCAGCCACCCCAGGCTAGCCACTCATTTAGTTATCCATTCAGTCAGCAAATCTCCCCTAGGGAGCCCCAGATCTTAATCTGTAAAATGGGGATGTTAACTCCAAATCCTGTCCCACACACTGAGTGGGAAGTTCAGTGGAAGAGAATGGAGAAGCAAGGACATTGTTGTCAATGAAAGATATTCCTGACCTGTGGTGTATGGGTCCTGGCAGGATGACCTCCCGATTACCCCTGAGCCTGTTCCAGCCACCACAAGTTCTCAAGCAGCCCTAACCCTCCCGAGACTGAGCAGCCCAGGAAACGCCAGGAAGATCGATTCCAATATAGCAAGCAGCAGGCTGCAGGCTGGCGGCCCTGGGCCAATCGATACTTTCTGTTCAGTGGTGGGGCCCTGCTGGGGGACCAGGGCAGGTTCTACTGGGAGGGATATGGGGGCTGAAGGACCCTGAGCCAGGGAACTCTAGGGTGAGGGAAGCAGAACTGGGGTGTGCTGGGGGAGTTGGTATGGGAATGAAGCCCCCCACCAAGGGATGCAGATTAATGCAGATTAGGGGAGCCAGGGAGGTATGGAGGCTGCAGGTCTCCCTTCTCTCCAAGGGCCCTTCACAGTCAAGGCCTACTCTAATTCTTTTTTTTTTTTTTTTTGTACGAGGGATTGAACCCAGGGGTACTTAACCACCGAGCCACATCCTCAGTCCTTTTCATGTTCTATTTTGAGACAGGTCTCGCTAAGGTGATTAGAGCCTCACTAAATTGCTGAAGCTGGCTTTGAACTTGCAATCCTCCTGCCTCAGCCTCCTTATTGCAGGGATTACAGGTTTATGCCATCATGCCTAGCTTAATTATTGAATCTTGAATCAGAGTCAAGGGAAGATGCTAGGGACTGGCGAAACTGAACATTACAATGAGGGAAAGCAGAAGATGGGGAGGGGGAACTCTGTCCCGCTCTGCTCAGCCTGGTAAATCAAGGAAGGTGAAAATGGGGGAGGCTGGGGTGACCAGGAAGCAGTGGGCTCCCCCCAGTGGCCAGCTGAAAATAAAGGCGCAGGTGCTGGAGAAGAGAGCGACAGTTATTTGTTCCGACAATTCCAAATTCCACGTTTATTTATGGGCCTGACTTATTTTTATCCTCCACAGCTTTCTTTTACATGAGATCACTGTAACTCATTATAAAAATTAAGATCGCAACATCTTAGTGACACCATCTCATAAGCCGTTGGACCCATCCCCACCTGGCGTCTTCACCCTGAATGTCACCGTCTAGTCTGTCCTCTGGCTGCTGCTGGGCAGCATTCACACATGACATCATCATCAGAGGAAGAGAATGGGGAGAGAGGAGGGTGGGGGAGAAGGCGGAAGGGAGACAAAGGGGGAAATTAGAGGGAAAAGCAAAACCCTAAGCCTCGGCAGAGAGAGCGCAAAGGACTCTGGGGGCCATTGGGGCAGGCCTCACCAGGCCCCCAGCTCAGGACCCTGTCTCCCTCTCCCTGGAGAGATCAAGAGGCCAGGCAAGGCTGTCACATGTGTGCCTCGGATCCACTGCCTGGGCAGAGGCAGGCTGCAGGCCTGGCAAGAGGAAGGGCAAAAAGCTCTCTCTCCCCCAGGGCCTCCAGAACTAGGCAGGGTGAGGGGAAGTGCTCACAGAAATTGGTAGAAGCATACAGGGCCTGCCTCTGACCCTGAGCGCCTTGCCACACACACGGGCAAACACCTGCAGCACGAGGTTCCCTCAGTCCCCCCTCTGCAGCCAAAGCAAGAGGAGCCCAAGGTGCCCTGGAGGAGGCCCGAGGCGCTGCCACCATCAATTCTACCTGATGACTCCATCCTGCTGACACCTAATGCAGCAGGAAGCACACTGTGCCTGGAGGTGAGAGGCCAGAGGACAAAGGTC